GGAGCACTAAAGGGAAAGAGGGGTTCATTTTCCCAGGGGGCTGTGGGATCAGGAGCACTGGGCAGGGAGGGTGTGCTGGAAGGGATTGTCACCCACCTTGTCAGGAAGGCCAGCTGGCTGACACACAATCCTCAGAGGCAGAGACTGTTTGTCACTCAGGGCTTTCAGGTGACTGCTGATGCCAGTGCCTTCAATCTGCCACTGTCTCAGGTGATATGCAAACCTTAGGAAGCAGGGAAAAACATGGAAAAAGTGCTTTTGTCAAAGCCTGTTTAACACAAATGTTTGCTGAACAATGGAAGTTGTTGTTTTGATTTTTTTTCAGGAAGTTATTGACAGCCTCACTGTGTTTCAAATAAAATTAAAATAACTTCAAAGAAGTTTCTCTGGTGAGGGATGGAGAAACACAAGCACAGCCACACATTTTTATACAAGAACAAAGGCCAACACTGGTAACTGTTTAAACTTTATTTATTACCTTGCACAATTACTCCCTACTGTCTTTCCTTTACACAAAGAAGCCATTTCTTAAATTAATAATCATTCTTAACACATTTATCATTATGGTAAGAGGAACAGAAATAAATTCTGCATCCAAATAGATCAATAGAGGTTTTTACCTTCTCCTGAAAGCCTCCAGGTGTGTTTTCAGCATCAAGAGCCCTCTTTCAATAATGGTCAGGCTTGAATGAGAGTCTCGCTCCAGGTTACTGGAAGCTATCATCAGACTCTCCATACACTTGCTAATAAATTCCTGCTCTTTTTCCAGACCAGTTTTACCTGCAACACCAGTTCAAGTCAATTTATAGGCACAGCTTTGGAACAATGCATTTTAATACTAAGAATAACAAAAGGATAAAGAATAAAATAGAAAAGAATAATAAAAGGATAGTGCTGGGTGTTCTTTAAAGCAATTCAAACAGCAAAGAAAGCATGAAAATGGAATTGGATACCGTTGATGTAGTAGGAGTTGATGTACTGGATGGCTGCTCGACTGACATCTCCAGACTGGGCCCTCAGAGCAATGCCCCAGAACTGGTCCATGCCACACAGCTGTTGGACAAAAGGAAAACAAGCACAGAAACAAAACATTGCTCATTATTTTACTGGGAGGGAGAATTTTCTGATCTGAGACATTCTTTTTACTTCTTGACTCAATCATAACAATATCTCACTTTCTCCACTGTTTGCCCTGTCATCACTGCACACACCAATTACTACAGAGCTCTCAATTTCTCACAAACAGTTTCAAAGTCACACATGAGGAGAACCGGCTGAAATTCAAAATAGTGAAATTTCATTTCTGACAAACAGGAGTACTTCCAAACGAAGCTATAAAACCACAACTACAGTCAATATTCATTGCAAGAAAAAAATGCCCCAAATCAATTTGGAGAATATATTCTAAATATAATTTTATTTATGAGGTAATTGCTCTGGATTAAAAACTTCAAGTATATAATACATAACACTTTACAACACATTTCTAGTCAGAGTTAAGTATGACTAACAGAATGTCATTTGACTCTTCTTCACTAGGTAAGTAAATGTTACAAACCTGTTTTTAGACTCAACAGTGGCTACAGCTCAGCTATGATAAAACATGACAAACTGCACAAAGGGATGCAGGCAATAGGTGTGAGGTTTTGGTGGGTTCCCATCTTTGCCCTGAGAGCCAAAGTGCCCAGGGCAGAGGCAGGCTCACCTCGGAGTTGGAGCCCCCATCGTAGGCGCTAGTGGCCAGCCGAGCCAGGTTACACAGGTGCTGGAAGAGGTTCAGGCCAGTCATGCTGATGGTTTCAGGTTTTAGCTGGGGCATCTAAACAAAGGCAAAAAAATGGCACTGCTGGAGCACAGAGCAATTGCAGGGTATTTATTTCACTGGCACTGTTATTACTGATCACTGCTGTTATTAATCCCACTCAAGTGTAGTAGATCAAATGGATTTGTTCTTGGAAAAGATCATACTCTGAGTTTTACATAGAATAAAGACATCAACTATAATTGGCTTAAACAGTTCACTTCACCACTGATTTGAACTGTAACAATGCAGAGGAAAAAAAGTTATTTCATTTTAAAATCAGCTGCTTAACTTATCAACAGCAGGAGAACTTGTTAGCATATGTGACATCCATCCAAAAAAACTTACACATGTGCAAAACTAGACAAAAACCTGTGCAATCTTGGGAAAGAATCAGACTACATTAATTATTGCACAATCTATCCATTTGTAATGTCATCTGTCAAAATAAATGGATGGAATGGAACCCCCTGGAGAAAGCTCTGCATGTTTGTCTTTTCAGTGGCTGTATTGCTGATATTTACAGGCCCTTCTGAAAAAGTCCATTTTTCACTCAGGTGGAGCTGTACAGCATAAAGCAAACTCTAGTTTGGTGAAGTTTTTTTTCCCAAATTAAAATAAAGTGCTGCACAGCTGCAGACAGAACATTTGGGCCATTTGTACAGAAGCACTCAGGTAAATTGGAATGTGAAAAAAATTCCCACAAATCCATTTCCTTCCTCTCTCCAAGCACAGAAAAACCCTACCATGACAAGCAGGGCCCTCCTGGACTACTGAAGAGATGATTTCCACAGAAACAATTTTAAAGGCAACAAACAGTGCTGGTATGGAATGAAACACTCTGTTCATTACTGGAATGATGAGGCTGCAATTAACTCTGCACATACCTTTTCCAAAAAAAGGTGCTTGTAAGTCTCCATCCCCATGGCGTGCTGGTCTTTGCTCCGGACTTGGTTCAAGAACCAGTGTAGTGCATCATCATAACATTCAGAATCCTCCACCAAACAGTGCCACAGGATGTCCACTTGTTCTAAACTCAACCCTACAATTGGGCAAGTATTTTTAACCACTCCTTTGTAACAAGAAATATTCCATAAAACTCAAGAACACGCAGAAAAATCAGAATATTTCTGTTGGGTCATGACACATAAATGTATTGTATGACAATTTGACTACCTAGAGTGAGACCACCCAAATATTAATTGTAAAATGTGTAATTTCCTTCTTCATAAGGAAAATTAATTTCTGACAGTATTAAAATATGAAGAATTATCTCTTTTGGGAATATAGTAGTATTCCAGTAAAAAATCTCATTATGGACACAAACCTTTATGTACCATAAGTACATAATGTATTCTCTTCCTTTAGTAATTACTACAATCCTATTATTTAGAAAAACTGCAGCACACAGAACATAAAAATTCGTTCTCACAGAACTGCAACAGAATATGAACTCCAACATTGGTTCTGTGCCCTTGCCAGAAAATCTTCCTTCTGTTGACACTGTCTCAGGGATTATTCTAAATTGTATGTTTAAAACAACACACTAAGCTGACATGGATTGCTAAGAGTATTTTTGCCTTACTCTGGGTGGTTTTGTGGTAAGATAACCTGAAATACTCACTGAAATGATCTGGGGATCCCAGAGTAGAAAACACACATGTCAGGAACTGGAGACGAACCTGAACCTCTGCACTGTGGCTGTATCTAAATGAAAATTTGGACAAAAAATGCAAGTTTGTTTCATTGTTTATTGCCACAACTTATTTCCTACTCATCCTTGTGCCTCTTAAAAGCATAAATAATTGCTTTTACAAGCTTCTTTCTGAATTCCTAGTTCACTGTATGGCCCAAACCCCAGCTGAAGATGCTGCAGAACCACCCCAAACAGCAGAATGACACAATAATTGTCACCAGATAAAGTCCTTTTTTCTTGGGAATTGAGAAGGGGGACAGAAGTGGGCTTTTTTTGTCTTACAGTTCAATTCAAGTGCATAACTTTGTCACCTTGCAGGATCTAACCTATTTTTCCCCCAAGTTGTAAAATGCTAATATTTCTACTCTGAATTTCCAACTCCAAATGATAGATATTCTTTATGAAAATATTTTCATAACTTACATAAAAATATAGACTTCATTTATTTTTATGCAGTAAAAGCTTGATGGTAAAAGGAGCAGAACAATTTCTCATTTTACCTAAATTTAAAGGATCCCACCTTCCTAAGTAATTCCTCACTTAAGCAACATCTACTATAAAGGGTGAAGTTAGATTGGAAGAAGTTAAATTGGACCCATAATTAGCAGCATTTTTCAGATGTGGGTGCCCATATTGACTTTGACATCTGTCAAAACATGAACAGCCTGTTCCTCTGGGACTGGGGAGCTGGAAATTGCATTGCTTGTTTATATACACCTGATTTTAATCACACAGATTACAAAGTGCAGATGGATGTATTCCAAAAAAAAATCATGCAAAGGCCAATGACAAATTTTAAAACTAAAACATTTCAATAGTTCTAGTATACAAAATCACTTTAAATTAACTTGGATATCAAAACCTTCATGTTTTATTTGCACACAAATATTCAAGATGATGTCTAACAAAAAATGACACAACGGTTGATTTTTTTTAAGCAAAAGGAGCTATTAAAAATGTTTTTACAGACTTTTGTAAAAGCCAGGAAATGTCCCTAGAGAAAGCTTTTAGTTACAAGAACACATCAGCAGCAGCACTGGTTAAACCATAAAACATCAAACACTCCAAGCCAGCTGAGTACTTACAGTGCATGTTTGTGCCGCCCCTCCCTGACTGCCTGGATGTAGTGTACCAAATTATCAAAGAAAAGTTTCATCATATTCAGTTCTTTTTCTGCCCACCTGTGGCAATTCAAAGGAAAAAGATCAGAAAAGCCCCAAGAAGCAGACAGCTGTTACAGGAAAATGGCACACACGTCACCCCCCAGAGTGAACGTTCATTTTTCCATCCCAGGAGCATTTCCCAGTACTGTACTCTCTTCTTTCTTGCAATCCTTAAGGTTTCCTAATGCTATTTTCAGGTGTAGGACTGACAGAACACTCCCTGTGGAGCCCATCAAAATTACTCCTAAAGGCCCTAATTCAGAGAAAGTCTAACTCAGAACTGGGTATATGTTTAAATGTCACATCAAAAAGGCCAAGGAAAATTGCTGATTATCACTGTCCCCTTATCAGCAGTTCTGTCAGTCCATTCTCTTACACCAGGCATGGTTTGCTCTGCTAAGGAATGCTGAACTTTATTATCTTCACCTTTCACAGGGTTTTATACACCAAAGAGCCCCCGAAATTGTTGGGACAGGGGCCTACTTACATTGTGATCCAATGTGTGTCATAGCTGCTCCCAAATTGCTGGAATGTTCCAAACAGCTTGGGAAGAAGGCGAAGTGAAACTACTACAGATCTAAGGGAGATAAATGATGGCAAGATTGTGACAAAACTGAAATACTTGACTGAAAAATTCCTTTGAGAAGCTCCAGTTCTGTGAGCAAACCAACTAAAGGAAAGCTCTGTAAATCATAAATCACAGAGTGATCTGGGCTGGAAGGGACTTTAAAAGTCACCCCATTCCACCCTCTGCCATGGCAGGGACACCCTCCACTACCCCAGGTGCTCCCAGCCCTGTCCGACCTGGTTTTGGACACTTGCAGGGATGGGGCAGCCACAGATGCTCTGGGCAGCCTGTGCCAGGGCCTCACCACCCTCACAATCAACACATTTTTCCTCATATCTAATCTAAACCTACTTTCTTTAATTTTGAAGCCATTGCCCCTTGTCCTGTCACTCCAGGCTGTTTTAAGAAGTCTCTCCCCAGGTCCCTTCAGGAACTGAAGGCCACAATCAGGGATTGAAGCCTTTTCCAGGCTGAACAATCCCAATTCTCTCACAGGAGAGGGCTCCATCCCTCTCATCAGCTTCTCTGGAGGTGCTCCAACAGGCTCAGGTCCTTCCTGTGCTTGTGAAATCTCCCATCAAGTCAACCAGAAGTTTTCTGAACCTGAACTACACTTACTTCAATTTCTTTACACACAACTCCCTGGAGCTGAGAAAAATCTCCCAGCATGTTTGTAACTCATCTCACCAGTTCTCAGCAAAAAGGTAACACCACAACACAGCAGGTGATGTCTGGCAGTCATCTGCACCATGAAAATAAATTCCACTTTCACCACTAAAATCTCACAGCTCTGGCTGGCATTAGAACAAGTTCTCTGAGGTCAAAGTGCTCCTTCCTCACAGAAACTAAACCCCCTAACAGACCTGTCTGCTCCTCAGCCACCTGGGTGCAAAATCTGAATATTCAGTATAAAATGCTCAGGCCAAGGCACCTGACCTTGCCCCTGCCTGACTGAGGTGCAGAGCTGATTTTTACCAAAGGCAGGAAAGCAATACCTCTGGTACAAGGAAGAACAGACAAATGCAACGAAATGAGAAATTCACGTCAACAAAACAAAAAGAAATGGAACATCAGAAACATCCACAACACTTTGGAAACTATTTTTATTCTTCTGCTTTTGCCTAGTTTTTCTTCCTGTAAAATCAAATAACCATTTAGAGCCAGCTTGGATTTCTGGTACATTGCAAAAATAAGATACTTATAAAACAGATAAATTATGACTGAAGTTACCTGTTGTTTGCTAAGTTTTCTAAGCAGCCTTCAATAAACCTCATTCGAATCTGTCTGTCAGTGAACCAGCACACTAAAGAACAGAGCAGCTTCTCTGCCTCATTTATTAACCCTTCAGAGAGATGAATCTGCAGCAAGCAGAAAGAAAGATCAATGAATATCTTGTACTTATTTTCTTTGTAAAAATAGTATTTTCTGGTATTTCACTCACTGCATCTTCATCCTGGACCAGGTCCCAGAGCAGGGTATTTCCCTTCTTACAAACATTATCCAGATTAATGTCTGTCACTGCATTGCTGTTGTACTGATGTTTGTGAACTGCTGGTCCTGCACAAAACAGAAGAGCATCAGTGAGCAAACAGAAGGAACCATCTGAGTTGAACATTATTCCCTAAGTGCACAAACAACAACACATTTTATCTGTTAACTTGGGCTGTTTCACAGTGCAACAACCCTGGAATTGCAGCCCTTTTTCACATATGGCTTCTTAAAAGACCATACCAGAAGCCAACAGGGCAGTTGGGCCAATATTTACACTGCTTTTGGCTAATGGCAAAGTGCAATTAAAACCAGCACTGAAGAACTGCAGATGCAATTGCTTTTTAATTTAATTCATACTGTAATTAATATATCTCTTCAGCCTTTCTGTGTTGCTGTGGTCCAAAGGGAGTTATCTCCATAACCACCAGGGCTGGAATGCAGGGAAGGAGCACATTTCAATAAATTCCCTCCTCCTACTACAGGATTCCCTCCATCCAACTGAAAACCAGAGAAAACAAACAGCATTTTTCCATGTGCTACAACATCCAAGTGCAGGGTTTTAGAAACTCATCATGTTTTCATAAACACTGATAGACATTTTCTTCCCTCTCTGTGCCCACAGCTGGCACCATTCATTGATCTGCTATTTAATACCATTTCCATGGAACAGCAAAGTCAAGTAGAAAATTCAGACTGCACACAGAACACTGTAATTATTTGCACATGCAAAACTAGGGGTGTCAAAAATAAAATGCACTGAAGGCCTCATGCTCAACCAGTAATTTCAATCTTCAGTTAGACAAATAATATCTATGGAAAAAACTGAAAAAAATATGCTGATTTATAGATTTATAAAGTTTTTAATACAGTGTAGAGAAAAAAAATCCAAATTTTCAATGTCAGGCTAAAACTTATTATAAAAACTTTTCATTCAATTACTTCAGGGAAATATATAAACAGCACTGGGTTTGCTGTCTGCTGGATGAGAGCAAACTTGGTTCTTGCAGGCCAGTGAAGAAAAACATGAGCCCTTCCCCAACCTTGCTCTCCATTATGTTTAAAAACAGGGTAAAAGAAAATAAAGCTGCCAAAATAGCATATGGAAAGATGATATAATTCTTGAGAAGTGTTTTAGGAGCATTTTAAATTGCACCCTGAAGTAAAGCAGAAGATTTGGCAGTGTAAGATGAAATAACATAAAATGCCCTTTAGAGCAAAGTCCCAAAAGTATCAGATCATATTTTAAGTCATTTTTCCAGAATTATCTTCTCTAGAGCCCATTATGGTTCATTCATTTATAGGTTAATTTATGATTTCAAGTGTACAAAATCACAGTAATGCGTGAACCCACCAGCACAAAAACTGCAGAAAGTTTCAGAGTGGAAAATCTTTTACAGAGTCTTGCATTTCAGTACCACCTTTCTTTACCCTTAAATAACCTATTAGAAAAAACACTTACTAGCTTCTTTTGTGCCTTTATTTGTTTAACTTGCATTCAAAGCTCCAGATGAAATGGAAAGGGGGGGATTTAAAAATATAAACACAGCTAAACACAAATGAATATTTCTGTGTTGACAAATGAACAGAGAAACAAAAATGAATCTCTCGGTGAAACCTAAGTTCTCAGCAGTCATCATGGTTTCTTTGGACAAATACTAAGAAATGGTTAAAATAACTTCATTATTTTAATTACTGGAGACTTAATTCAAAATGACAACCCCAGTTTTTCAGTTTTTCTTTGATCAGTCTTACCTTGACTCAGATGTTCATGATAGATAGAGGCCAGGTTTGGGAGGTGCTGCTGAAGATGAGATGTTAGCTCAGCATGGGAATTAATCTGCACAAGCTCTTCTTCACAGCCAGACTCTTCCCCATCAAAATCTGCCATATTTTTCTCTGATTTTGCACTGACTTGAGAACTACTGCAGCTGACATCATCTGCACTAAGCATATCATCAACCATATGCCTGCAAAAGAAGAATATCAGAATGGACAATATCAAAGAGGAAATTGTTTATAGCAGACTACAAGTGAGCAGACATCTCCCTAAAGCTAAAGTCAGGATGAATCATCTGTTGGAACAGCAGCCCTTGTATGAATTGGAAAAACAACTACAGATAAGTAAACTGAAGGACTCACTAGCATGAGGACTGAGTTAGCTTCTCAATGTTAACTAATTGCAGCACTTTCCAAAACATTTTTAGCATTTTCTTAAATCTTGTCTTATTTATTCGAAACCAAAACTTAATAGAAGCCTTTAATCAGATGTTAATAAATCAGATATCTGTCTAACTATCTGTGATAATGATCATCTCTGCAAGACAAAATTATCCTGAGCTACAGCACAATGTCCACACACCAATTTCTGCCCAGATGGAGGATTTTGCTACCTATCTGCCCAGATAAAGGATTTTGCTAACTGTTATGGAAGGAGTCAGAAGAAACTGCATCAAGAGAATTATAGGTTGGATATTGGGAAGAAGTTTTTTACAGAAAGAGTGATAAAGTTCTGGAATGGCTGCCCAGGGAGGTTTGGGGTCACCATCCCTGGGTGTGTTTAACAAAGCCTGGATGTGGCACTGGCTTAGTTGAGGTGCTGGGGCATGGACTGGACTCAATCTTTAAGGTCTCCCTTACCAGCCATTGTGTGCCTCTGTGAAATGGCAGCTACCTACCCGTCGTGGTGGTGGTGGTGGTGGTGATGGTGGTGGTGGTGCTGGGGCCCAATGAACTGGCGACAGTTGAACAACTCATTGCCAATGGTTTCCCCAAGAAAGTCCCCTGTGTGAGTGATGCAGGAGTCCTGGGAGCCCTGTGAAATGTGAGCGGTGCCCATGTCCCCGGCCATGTCGTGCTCAGTGTCCTCGCTGTGGGGGCAGGCGTCCAGCATGCGCATGCGGCCGTCCACGGGCGCCACAGCGTCGGCGCCGAACACGCGCTCCTTGCCCTGCCCGTTGCTGCTGACGCTCCTCTCCGCGGCCCCCTGGGCATCTGCCAGGCACATGCCCGCCTGCGATTCCAGCTTTCTGCCCCGCAGATCTGTGCTCCTGCTGCCTTTCTGGGGGTTGTGGCTCCTGTCTTCTTCCTCTTCGTCCTCCTCCTCTTTGAGCGCCTCGATGTCGGCGATGTCCTCCGACTGCGCCTCGCTGCCGGGGCTGCCCGCGGACTGGCTGGCGTGGCTGGAGTTGGCCTCGTTGCTGGAGCCGTCGCTGTGGCCGCTGCTGCTCCCAGGCCCGCTGCTGCCATCCTCCCCGCTATTGGCCGTCTCATCAGAGCTCCCTTGCATGGATTCCTGCAATTATTTTGGGCTTTTTAGGATTGGTGGAGAAAATAAAGCACCACTGGAAATACATAATTAATATCATCATCATCATTCAAACATCATTCTTCCTTCAGGAGGAAATGTGTCACATCTACAAGTTCTCATTCATTCCTTCTCAATTTGGTTGCTGATGACAAAATGCTCCGAGCAAGATTCAGATTTAATAATTGATTTTCTGCATTACCTTGTTGCTAACAGGGTGTGTGTGCAGACTTTGCATGTGCACAGAGCCCCAGTGTGACAATGCCTTGCTGTCCATTACTAAGAGAGTAACCTAACTGGAACACAATTTAAATGCAGGAATACATTTGTCTGAGGTGGTTTGGAAACAAGCACAGATAAAACATCATTTTTATAGCTGGTAACAGCAGCTCAGTGACAGAATTGCCAGAGTCAGAGCCCCAGTCTCACCTCGGTGTCCGAAAGGCGCTGCTGGACGTGTTTGGTTCTGTTAATCAGCTGCTCCTCCATTTCAATGTCACTGCCTCCACTCTGATGGGTGTCACTGTTGTCACTACTTTGAGGGCTTGCTGCTGGTGACCCTAATTCAAAACCACATTTCCCAGTTAGTCTGTGACAGGTAATTACTGGAATGTAACAGCATTGCATAAATCTGCCTCCAATACTGAGCATTCTTCCAGCAAACAGGGATATAACTTAAACTACGTGTACCTAAACACCAGAAACTTCACTTAGAACACTGAGCATTTTACAAAGTTTGTATTTTGATGTCTCTTCTTGCCACTGTTATATAAATTTCTACTCAAAATACCATTTCATTTGACTTCTCATAAAAACCAAATTTCAAATTTAATTCTGCTCCAAATTCAAAAGCACTGTAGCTTCAAAGGAGCCAGATTGTGGTGTACAACTAAAATTATACTTACAAGGGGAAGGGGCTGCTCTTCTGAGCTCCTCTTCTTCTGAAGGAAAAAAGCAGGATGGAAAAGAAGTGACTAAAAATCATTTTGTCAGCATATAGTTGTCAATGATTCATAAAAGCCAGCAGGATGAAGAGAAAGGGAAACTACAGGAAAATAAATGGCTTGGCAGCACCTTTAGTAATGACTGTGGGGAAATACACAGTCCAGTAAAAAACAAAATCACCAAATCAGAAACAGCATGTAATACCAGAAAGTAGGTAAAAGGTAAGTTGCTTTTTGTGCAGCTATTAAGTCACAGATGTGCAGCAGAACAAGAATAGCTATGGATCATTTTCTGAATTTAAAAGAAAAAAGGAAAATACAGACTACTCTAGCTATACAAACAGAATGAAACACAAAGCCTCCCAAAAGCACTCACAGACTTTTCATGCTTTCATCTACAGCCTCAAGTTCTGCTGGAAAAATACACCAGCATGACACTTTTAAAAAATACTTCAAGGAGAAAGTTCTATACCTGCTTTTTGTCCAAACTCAACATGGAGACTATGAAAATTCCAAATTTAACCTCCAGATCTACTGGAAAGCCACACACCTTTTTTGTTTCCCATGGGCAGGTTGGTGCTCAGTAAAGATGCAAAGGAGCTTTGTTTTGACAGCTGAGCCTTAGCTGCCAGGGCATTATTCCACAGGGCTTTGATCAGCATGGATGCCAAATACAAGGTCTGCATAGAAAACCAAGGAAAAGTCCCATTAAGCAGAAGGTTTTGGATAGAAAGATCCACTGTTCATTTTTCTCTAGGTCAATACTACAGCTCACCAAAATAACTCATCAAAATAAACAACTCCACTAAATAATGAGTGAAACACATTGTAATGCAGACAGGAAGTGAAACTCTTCCATCAGTGGTTACATAATCTCTAAAAATGATCCGTCAAAAGCCAGGAAAGGTGCAGTTGAAGAAACAGGACAACTTCACTCCTAGAGCTCCCCTTTCTGCATTCCTTTAGGAAGACAAACCCATCATGGTTGTTAAGCCTCCCCTTGAATTGCTTTTCTCATGGCAGAGATGCTGCTGGCCCTGTCCTTACCTGCTCAGTGTGAGCACTGGGGTGCAGAGTTGAGACAAGGTTCAGGAGGTGTCTGAGTGGGACAGGGTCCAAGTTTTTGATCAAAGAAGGAAACAAGTCGTGAATGTACCGACTGCAGTGCTTCAGCTACAGGGAACAAACAGACAGGGAACAGCAACAGCAAAATCAACAAGGAAATCAAATAATGCAGCAAATAAACATTTTTGTACAAAGTCTCAGGACCAGTTGTCAAATCATTTCAAACTCCAGCAGATTTGCAATTTTGACTCAAGTAATTTGGACACTGTAAAGCCAGCAAAGATCCAAATCAAAGGCAACAGTTCCTTCCTTAGTTCTAGTTCTGAGAGACTGGGTGAAAAGGACTGGAAGTTTGGTATCTATTTGAACTTAAATATAACTTCTAAAATATTAAGTTTATATGCTAAAGCTGAGGGAAGCAGTTTTTGCAATGATTGCCTTATCAGCAGAGGTAAATACAAATAAAGATTGCTCAGGAACAGACTGTGTGAGGATTATAAAGAAATCTTTTGTCTTTCCAGTGATGGATGTCAAAAAATATGACAGTGTGTTCAGCTAACTGCTCCATTTCCACATGAAAGGGACAGTGCTCCTGGATGAATTCTCTTTGGTTAAATTCTGCTTTTCACAGCCACTTAAAGGAGTTTCTTTACGTTTGTAAGGATGTTGTTATTCAAAAAATAAAATCATGCTTACAGGAAATTTCTAAAACCAAAAATTCTTATGTTGGTTACCACACTTTCACCTCAAAGGGGTTTTTTTAATGATTGATTTTATTTTGCCTTCCTGGCATTAAAACATCTGTGTCAGCAATTCACTGTGTACAGGCCAACTTTCACAGGATTCACAGTGCAAGGAAATCATGTGGGTTCTATACAAAGATGCATTTAAACATCTTGAGATAACTCCAGCTTAGGGAAGATGAATTTTTGGCCGAAAGCTCATTTAAAAAGTGGAAAATAAACCTTAAAGCCTTCTGTTCTTTCAGCCTAAAGGTGTCAGCCTTTTAAACAACCTTAGAGGTTTAAGGAAGGGATCCTTTCACAGGAAGTGATCAGGACATGCTTCATTCTGATATCAAGCATATTGAGAAAATATCACTATGTCAAAATGAACACTTACACTGTAAAAGCATTATCAAAATTAGGTAATTATATTATTCCTAAAGCAGTATAAAATATATTGAAAAAATCCAGAGGTCTAACAGTGTGTGACATGTTGTGTGAAAACATCAAGGAAGTGAAAATACTGTTTTAAAATGTAGTGTAAAATAAATAATTACTAATTACTCTGACACAGAAAAATGGTGGAGCAAATGCTGTTCCAATGAGCATTTAACTAACATTCCAGCTGCATGTTTTAATGACAATGGACCACACTGGTTCAGAGTGTGTGTTGAGTACTATTTGATTGAAATAAATGACAAAGAAATATTGAATACATAAAAACCCTCTTTAAATTCTAACCTGTTAAAACAGTGTGTTCCCTAGGCCTGCTCATGCCTATTGTACTCAAATCCCCTAAATAAAAATGTCACAACCTAAAATAACAAGCAGAGTGACCCATTAAAAGTAGCACACAAATAAATCTTTCTGAAGGCAAAAAGCCTATCAGAGTTTCCAGCTTTAGCAAGCAAAAAATAAAATTTCAGTGCCTTCTATAGATTTTAAGAGCAGCAGAGGAGCACAGCTGTAAACTTCACTGCCACAATTTTCACCTGATTGTTCCCACCAGGAGTACCAGAAATGGAAGCTACAATACACAGGAGCAAGGAGCAATTTAGCACAATAATAAAAATACTGCAACTGCCCTAAACCTTCATCCCCATTCCCAGTGAAAACACTCTCTCCTTGCTATACAACTTCATTTTTTTCCTTGTATAAAAGTAGCCAGGGTGATTTCTTGCATCTAATAAATAACCCAGTAACTGTGGCAGTTACCTAACTTGACATTTTGGTCAGCAAAACACTCAGACAGCCAAGAAAAAGCAAAAAATTCAACTTTAAGAATGTGAAACAAAATCAACTTATTTTCTATTTTGTGTTTCTTTTATCACTCCTGCAATTACAAAATTCAATATATACCTGTGCAGCAGCCCAAATACAGTCTATATGTTGAGTACTAAGTCTCCCTTCAGCTGCAAGAAAATTCAGGATCACTTGGCACTGTTTGATGATCTGCAAAGTGAGAACACAGCGAGGAAAGATTTACTAGAACAACAAGTTCATGCTCCATGTTTATACCAAATTTATAATAATCAAATACTAACCTCAATATGTAGATTTGGTCCAAAAATGTGCTCAACTACATTGTTGCTGATAAGCCAGTCTGCAAGTTCTTTTGCAATTGACCTGGAGGTGAAAAAAGAATGGAAACATAAAATGATCTGCCTGTAACGTTCACTCTGTGCTCTCCTCTAGCACAGCACGTCCTGCAAGTTGGGATCTGCAGCTGCAGTGAGGGCACAAAAACCTTCCCAACACAAACCATGGTCAATGTCCATTTTTCCAAGCAGGAAGCAAATTATTTCTTTTTTTTTTTCTTTAGCTGGAAGACTAATTGCAAATATCAACATTTCCCCATTGGATCATCAGCAAACATAACCAATAATTCTACTAATTTTATTAGTTAATGTGCAACACACCATGTGCAAACAATTGCAAAGGCCTCGCAGGTAAGATTTTGATACTGCTGTTTAATCCAAGTTTATCATGAAATTCCACAAGTATTGAAATATAGCTAAAGGTGGGAGTGACAGAAATTATTTCCTTAAGGAAAATATTTTTAGATTCTCTAACACAAATAGCAACTCTCCCAAACTGTTTGCCATGGTCATAGTCACACACATGCAGCACACAGATACTTCCAAATTCTCATTCTGCCCATCCACACCAACAGGAACTTTACCCACTGCCATTCCTTAAGCAAACATTCAAACCAGGACAAGGAAATTGAGAGTGCCAGAACAAAAGCTGAACTTGCAGAAAGCACTGCCCTGTCTGCACAGCAGTGCCTGAGCTCCTTTTTTATTCTTTCTCTTCAAGCAAATGTTTGTTTACCCTGATTTTGGCACCAGCAGCAATTAGAGGAAATCAGGGCATTCAAAGCCCACTTCTGGGATGAAATGACCCTGGAATAACAGAGCTGTGTCCCACAGGGAGCAGAGGATGGAGGGAGGGAGTGCCCTGCAGGACTTGAGGAAGAGTTATTTTTACCACTTGTGCTCATGTCACATTTATGGCCACTATTAAAATCCAGGACTGCCAATCTTTATCATCCTCAAGAAGGAACCAAGATTCTCTAGGTAAGAAGAGATTGCCTCTGTGGCTTTTCCAAACAGGAATCACTACTCAGGGGCACACTGCCAGGGCTTCAATTGTTTTGGATTGCCTGATCCTCATGGCTGAGCTCAAGGAGCAAAGCTCCCGTTACTCCACATCATTTCTGGACTGTTCTCTTCTAATTCCAGGACACTGGCAATCAAATATTGCCACACTGTTCAAAGATAATGTCCCGTAACATTTAAGGAATGACTGAACTGCAGGGTACAAAAGTTTGCCAGCAGTTATCATTTCTGGCTTATCAATGAATGAGTTTCACACTGTAAAGTCAGTTTGACAGAGGATCTGCTCAAAGAAGGACTGAAAAGATAAACTGCATCTGTTCCATGAATCCAAGATGTCCTGAGCTTCCCACAGAGCCTCATCTCAAACCCAAACCCAACTATCCCCAGCACCCAAACCAAACTCTGGCATTGCACATCTGTGACTCAGCCAGGGTTTGGATTCCTGGCTAACCAAGGCTGCAGGAAGACCTTCCCTTCCTTCTTGCATCTGAGTGCTGCAGCCTGCAGCTCTGAGAAGGAGCCCCAGATAAACAACCAGTGCTGGGCAATGCCAGCATGCAAGGGCACATCCCTCAGGGGGTCTCTTTATCCCAGCCCTTCTGCTCATGGCACAACACCCTCCAGGCTTTGTATCCACTCACACGCTGCATTTTAACCACTCCAAAGGAAAGAACAAAAGCTCTCCTCTAGAATGAGTTCCTTCACATTTTATTAAATTACCATGGTAGTTCTCTGTCTCTAATTCACACCATGTTTACTCTGAAAAACCACAGATCATTCTTTTGAAGGAATGCCTTTTTTAATGGATGTGTTCTCAGCAGTAACAAACTCTTTATCCTTCTGGTGAGCCCAACTCTGGTAAAACAACATCTCAGATTTCTGAAGGTAAATGTGCATTTGATATGGATTTGTTGAGGGTGACCAAACACAAGAGGATCCTTGTGCAAGGCAGAATGAAGCCCTTGTGCTTCCCAGCAGAGAAAACTGCTCCTCCCAGAATATTTGGCTCAGGGCACAGCAATCAGAACCTCTTAAAATGATCAAGTTATTACTCCCACAAAGTGTTTAGTTCTCTGATTTACTACGGAATATATTTACAATACCACACTCAAGGATTCACCAGAAAAGCAAATTTCAGTGTAAATGAGGAGTGTCTGTCTTCTTTCCTGAACGCTTCCATTTCAGCAAAGGTTTTCCTGAAAAAAGTTCCTCTTTTGTATTAAAGGAATTGGTGAGAGTGAAAATCATGCATTATGATCAAAGCATTAACGTGCCTTTCCCTCTCACATCAAAGCAGCAGCACAAGGAATGGTTTTACAAATTAGATATCCAAATCAGACAGACTTTAGGAGTAAGAAAATTCACCTTGGCAGTAACACATAGCAGCTGTTTATAATGGATTTAATAACTGGATAGCAATAGGAAAAGTTATTTAAAGAACTTGATACTCTCTATGGCTCTGTGTTGTGGCTGAGGGAGGAGAAGAGAATAAAAAGGCAAAGGTAGCAGCTACTCTGGTTTAATTGTCTCAAAATCCCGCACTGGAAATGTACATAACACTTAATCCATTTCTCTGCAGGATTTTTAATTTGAGTTCCCTGATTATTCATGTCTGTCAAAAATAACTGCTTTACTTCCAAGAAATGTAATTCAAGCACTTCTGGCATGAGTTTCCCCAGGCATTGTACGAGACTGCAAGGAAGAGAGGGGACTGCAGCTGGTGACAGAACTTGATGTTGGAACTGCACTGAGTTTAGTTCATCCTTATCCTCCAGCTGATGCATTTTCCTGACAGGTCAAAGAACACCTCTCTATGAAAGGACTGGGGTAAAGTCCTGGAAACATTTTAATCTAAGGCTGTGCTGCAATACTTGTACCCACATGGTGACCCAAATCCAGCAATAAATCCCACAGCAAAGCAACCCCCATGAAAGAAAACTTTATTTATTCAAGCAGTCCATTCCCCACAGCAGCTCAGAGCTAGATGGATCACAACAACAGCCATCCACAACGTCACTGAACACAGAACAGAAAAGCTCCAAGGGAAAAATGCAGCTCTGGAAGTGGCAGCTTGCAAGGGAGGAACACTAACACCTCCTGACAACATCACTGAAATAGGATCTATAACACAACAACAGATGTGAAACCCTGATCTCAACTATTTAGGATCAGAAATGCAAAGAGGATACAGAAGGCACCTTCCCAACACACATTCAAGCACATGTTTTTGCTTCTGAGCACAAATTTTCCTCTTTGATGCTCTGCAGGCTCTGAAACCACCACTCTGACATCATCTGGAATATTTGTTTAACTGCTGTGTGGGCCACAAGAAAGAAACATTAGTGAGCTGAGTGAAAAAATTCACCTTTTTTTTTTGTCAGAGAAAATCTGAAAAGATCCCTGAAATGGGGTAGAGAGAGTAGAGGGTTTAAATAATGCTGCCAGAAACTCAAATCAGTAAGCTTAGATAAAAATGGAGAAAGAGTTAACATAAGGTGAAACGGTGAAGGGAAAAGGCAACACAGAACTTGCAACTGAGTATCTCAATAAATAAGGAAAGAAAGAAGAAATAATCCAGTTCCTTCTGTTCACAGGTGAAAGGAATTTTGGACACCTGAAGTGCTCTGCAGGAAGCTTTTCAAGAGAGGGTAATCAAGGTTTTAAACGAGTCAGGAAGTTGCCTCCGTGTCAACCTGGAACCTGAAACCCGAACCCCTGGCTGCCCGCCAAGGAAGAGCAAAACAAACTCTCTTTACACACGGTATTTCCAGAAGCTGACAGTGTCCTCACCAAAGAAAAGACCAACACTTTTTCCTCTTGTGCTCCAAGTAACACTCAACAAAAAGAGTATCTTTCACTTCCTGAAAAGCATCATCATTTCTCACTAAGTGACATCAGTGAAACACTTGCAGGAATCACTTATTCAAAGACTCTGAGCCTCTTCTGTTCAGGCTTGTTATTTTTAGCCTCAGTAGATTTCACACTCCTCAGCACCTCAGATTGCAAAGAATTTGGCTCTATCTTTAGAGGCAGGAAGAGCTAAATGAGAATTCCATCTCTGGGGAATGAAGAAGTTGGGTGGCTGAGGCACTGCCCACACCTGGAGCACAAACCTCAGCCCTTGAGAGGGCAGGGAAATGGAATCTCAGAAATCACACAAACAAACACCTGCAGCTCCAACCCAGACCCCTCCGCAGCTTTGTGCTGCTCCCCAGTGCAACCTGGGAAATCCAGTGCTCTAGGCAGAAGATGCTTTAGCCTGTCTTACATGGAAAAACTGCAGGATAAAGGTGGGAAGCTACCATTGCAAAATATTTGCTAAAAACTCCTGCTGTTAATTCTGACCAGGGAAGAGCCAGGACTAACTGAGAGCTGATTTTCTTAAGGCACCTCCCGCAAACCCACCTTATCAAGATACAGAAGGAGAAATCCCAAAGGTTGACAGTTCCAAATGCATCTGGAAAAGTCAAAACATAAAATGGGGATGACCAGACATAATGCAGGACATCTTCTTTTGGCAAATCTGCAGAGGCTACAAAGGTACAAAATAAAACTTCTTAAGACTTCCTTTCTCCACTAAGGAAAGAACACAGGAATGAAAAGCTTTCCTTTTGCTGCTCATTCAGTCACTGCCAACTCCCTACGTGCCTTTTCAGCCAAAAATGTCTCATGAGCAGAGTCTGTAATGAGAGGGAAGCTTTGTACTGGGCAAACTGGAGAAGTGAGACATTTCCCCATCCTCCTGCTCCAGCCCTTCCTGATTATTTGGCTACAAGACATCAGTGATTCCACAAGATAGCTGAAGATGAGCAGCAATGCTTGACACTGGACTGCAACCAACCTTTCAGGTAAAACACCAGAACAACTGGAATGCTGATTTTTTTAAAAATCACACACTACAAAAGTGGAAAAGAAGGTTTTCTGTTCGTGCTGCATTCCTTTCACATGACAGCCTGTTTACAGATGCCCCTGCCAAGAAAGTAATATCCCAAAGGAGAATTTGACAATTTCCTTCAGCTTTAAAATAACTCTGATGCTCTTGCAGAGTACATCTGCTCTTCTGCAGGGAAATTTAACCACTCCTCTCTTCTTCCACCTTCCTAATTTCTCTCTTTTACATTTGACACAGAAAATCAAACAGCTTTGTATTAGGTTTAGCTGGCACAATCACTTGTTACTGTTACCACGACCTAAAAACAATCTCTGTCTCCGATTTTCAGCGTGAGGGAAGGAGAAGAACTGGGTAAATCTGAGGTTTGTCAGTCCCAGTGTAACAACACACCAGGAACTGGAGGACAGTGAAGGAAACGCCCCAGCTGACCTCACATTCCCAACATGCTCCCCCCCTGCACTATTTACTATTTATTTCTTATTCCCAAGGTATTTCCACATCTCCACAGAAGCAAAAGTGCCCTAAATTCTGGTTCTTTATGTTTCAAATAGCAACACATTCCCAGAAATTTCTCTGCAAATATCTAAGGTGCTTTTTGCATGAAATCTCCAGAACTGTGGCCATGACTGCAGCCAGATTTCAGAAAGTGTTCAAATGCAATTTGTAATAAAAGTATCCAGATAAAAACAAGACACTGCTGCTGTGAGACTTCCATTAATAAAGTACTGGAGAGTGTGTGTGGCTCCCAACACCAACTGAGCACATCACTCCCCAAGAGAAACTTAGCAAGTATATTGTGAGTAAAATTCTACAATTTACACATTTTGCCTGTTATTCCACAAGAACAGTTATTTCAACTACCAAAATACATATTTTTAATTTAAATTCTTGACAGTTCTACCATTAAGTTTAGAGTTACTAGAGAAGTGAACACATTTCCTGGCTGGAATCCAATCCCACAGGTGAATCTGCTTGAAGATTTATGTGAGTCCCCCTAAAACTGTTCAACACACCTGAGTTATACAAGTAAGGACTTTGAAGGAAAAACACAACAACAAGAGCATTGCCTCAAAAACTGGGTGGAAAAGTAACAAGTTTGATGGAAATACAAGTCTTGGTCAAACAAATAATCCAGAGAAATGAGAAAATGGCAAAAATTATATGAATTAGCTGGTTTTTATTTATATATCACCATGGACATAAGGGGCCATTACAGGTATTTATTATTTCAGTACCTATGTTTTTCTAAAGCTTACCTTGATTGAATATTTTAATACAGAAAAAAACCCAGAAACATTCAGAAATATTTTACAGTTACCATTTAAAAGCATTTATTAACCCCCTGATTAGAATATTTCTAATAAATGTCTCAGATTATCACTGCTCCCCCATGTGTAAAATCCATAACAACAGAGAAGAAATGCAATCATGTAAAACACTTCAAGTATTCAGAATAAGGTTCCTACTTACGTTTCTGTGTCTGAAACTAATGACTCATTATTACACACATCATTGAAGGTATGAAGTTGATTCTATAGTTAGAAAAAGGAAGAAAAAAAATTACAACTTTATCCGAATATTTGCTGAGGCAGTTTTCTTATATTTCAAAATAGTATTAGTGACATTATAGGACTTTATATGTTTTTAAGTAAGTTGTTTAGACAAAATTAAAGAACAAAAACCATGTATTTTTTACAGGAAATGAAACTTTCAAACATGTCCAAGCTCTTAAATTTAAGAGGAAAAAAACAGCCTGTTAAAAGTTTTCCATCTCTTTTCCACTTCTTCCCTCAGCATCAATGGCTCTGTATCCAATTCTTTACATGTACACAACATTTAAAAAAATATTTTAAATTACATAATAGACCTTACTTGGCATCTTATTAAAAAAATATTAAAGGCACGGTAATGTGAATTTTTGCAGTTAAAATTAAACTCGTTGCATAACTCTGTCAAAATATTTACTCTCTTGAAACAAGTCTAGCACATGCACTCTGTAATTCAGGTGAATTCACTAATTTTCTCAATAACTCTGTGTGTAAAGACTTCCCAAGAGTTATTTGTGTCCAATCTCAACAAACTTCAGGGGGGGAAAAACACTTTTAAAAAACCAAAATAGTAAACATGCACTGAAATGGGTGAGATGGGAGAGCCTGACCACACATTATTAATAGATTGGTTACTAATGGAGAATTTCAAATGACACATTTAGGAGTGGAAATCAGAGCTGGGTCACACAACACAGTGGAACCTCACTGATTTTTCTTAAGATTCACCTCCAAATGGAAATATTTTGAAAGAGTGACAGAGTCTTGAGCTGCTCCTATCACCAGTTTTAATCCAGGCTCACCATTGATCAACACCTCCCAAAATACCAAATCCTTCTCCAAAGCAATTCTGACAAAGACTCTGTAATTCATACTGGGATTTGCAAACAATATTTCCAATAACTTCAACTACACTCTCTTAAACTACACAGAATTCTGTTAAACTGAACTGAAACTAACCAGAATTCAGCACAAGACAAAGCACATGTGGGACAGTTTGTAACACTTTGCTCTCCCTCACTTCAAGTTTTGTTTCCTTGAATGCCAGAGGGAAAAAAATCCTTTTTCATTTTTTACTATCTATGAAACATGGTAAGAAACTAAAGGCACTAAAGACACTCAATTGATACAACACAAATGTGGCAGTGAAAGGACACAAAGGTGGACAAAAAGCAGAGAAAAAAGCACTAAAACTGTCCCTGGGCTGATCTCCAGAGGCAGGCACCAAAACAGAAAATAACATTCTGTTTGTGGGGCAACAGTGGACAGGGAGGGTATTTTGGAGCTGAACCACCTCTACAGGTGACTGAGAGATGAAATGGAAGAGAAACAAGGTAACAACAAAAATAAAACCTCTATGATTTGAATGAGAAAGAAGAACAAATTGTCTCAATGTTTCAGAGCGGTTTTTAAGACTATTCACATTAAAAAATCAGACTTGGTAATTTATCAGCATAAATTAGCTTACAATATTAAATTTTTACTATTTTTTACTATTTGCTTTAGTCTAAAAATACTGTAAAGTTTTTCTTCTGGTAATACATGTCTGTTCTTTGAAAACTCTCATTTTTACAGCAATATTCATCATCACAACAGGTGAAAACATGTAACTACTTAACACAACCTCACACTCCCTTAAATGAGCTAGAAAATACCTGAAAAAATAAAGCAGCTGAAGAATTCTTATTTTCAGACTTTGTTTTGGCAAGGATACACAAAAAAACACACAGTGGCAGCTGAACAAGGAGAATTGTATAAAACCAAAGGAAGGGATTTATAGGAACTGAATGTAATTGGAACTATGCAAAAGTGGAAACAGATTTTAAGATCAATTATAGTGGTGGATGCAGTTCACAGCCTGTTTTTACAGCCTAGTAAGTTACCTGTATGTAAATATTTACTTTGGGTAAAAGCCAGCAATAATCTGATTAAAAGTACTTACAGATCTCTTGAAATTGCCATTTATTAAATTGAGGGTACTTCTATCTATAGCTACAGTGAGATGCAAAATCAAGTTTAAGTAAACTTGTACTCAGTGACACCACATCTTCAGAAGAGAGGAGGCCAAATATGTTCAGAAAACACAAAATTTAAAAGGCTCAGATGGATAAAAAACTTCATTTTTATCCTTCTGTGGGATTGTTTCTCTATGGTTATAGGCAGCAATGACAAATCAAGACAATGTGCCTGGTGCAACGTGGAACATTTCCATGGGAAAGGGAAAAGATGGGGATTTCTTTTTTTTAGTTTTAATTGTTTTCCATTTGAGGCTGTGTGTATTTACCTCTTCAATTCCCCCTCCTGCTAATGAGTGCAGAACTGCACAAGGGACAGAAAAGGAGGTTTGGGCAATGCAAAGCAGCAGCTGATTGCAGCAGGGTCAAGATGCAGCAAAGCCCAAACTGCACACAGATGAAAAGCCTTTCCCAACACCCAATCCTGCTGTGGCAGGGGCTCCATTTCACCCAGCTGTCCCAAAGCCCAGCTCCAAGGGGGCTGCTCAGTGAATTGTTCAGGTAACGTGAGCCACTTCCATATGGTGCAAACTCAGGCTCCACTGGGAGTCAAACCCCACCCTCACCACCACGGCTGCCATTTCCTAAAGCTGCACGTCAGGGGATCCTGCTGCTTTCACACACTAAAAAAGCCCCCAAACATCACAAATTTAAATCATAAATTGCAACAAGTAAACTGTAAATCATAAATTGCAACAAGGAACGTTTTCTACAAACGATAAGAATTGGTATTTTTAAAAAGTCCTTACTGTTATTTGGCTCAGGCCAGCCAATCTCATTGTCAGGGTTGGTGACATGAAGTATTTGAATGCAAGATCAAGGCTTTCTTTATCAAAGCACAGGGCTGTGTCCAAGGGCTCCTTGACTGTGCTCCACATTAAATCTGCCATGTTCCTGGCTGCACTCTGCCTCAGCTCCTGGTCTGACAGCTTACACAAATACCTGCAAAATCACAACAAACACAAACAGGGCACGGCTCAAACCACAACATTCCTGCAGCCATCCTGATCACAGCAAAGATGGGTTTCTCCAAGATCACTCAGTCTTAAAATACCACTATTAAAAGTTGGCACCAATTAATGAAAAACACAAGGAAAACCAGAGATATTTGTAATATTTTTAAAGTAAGGAAATTGCTAAAAAACTTTGCTTAAGCCCTTTCTCTTGCAGTCTTCTAATCCTGCACAATGAGTCGCAACACAAATATTCTCTGCAAATGGAAAGCATGAGAAATACTTACAAAAACTCATGCACAGAACCTGGTGCAACCTCAGAAGACCAAAACACAGAAAATCTGCAGTGAAATGCCAGTAAAGTTCACATACAAAACACCAACACAACTGAGAATTTCTTCTGACTGAATGTGTAACAGAAAAATGTTTAGAAACAAGATTTCCTGAGCTTATTTTGATGCCATTAAAGATGGCACAGTGAAAGGTACATGCATACAAAGTTAGCATAATTAATTTTTTCTGCTTTTTTTCAGAGTTTTGAAGTTTCAGCAACATCCAAACTAGATTTAACTACACAGAAATGTGTTAAAAATCCATTTGTTTGACAGCCTAAGCCTGGATCTCTCCTTGGAGACTGGCCAAATAGATGCATGAATCTTTTAAAAAACACACCAGATATTAAACTACACTTAACCAGATTTATGCACCATTCCTTTGCATTTACATCATATAAACATCAGTACTTTTTTGTCAAAAGCAAAATTACAGGCTGTGACTCTTATTTAGATGATGGTTCTTTTCCACAGCTCTTGTGTAGAAGCCTAAAATAAACACACTTAAATGATACTTAACACTGTCAAACAGAGAAAAGAGACTTCAGTGCAAATAATCCCAGAGACTGGAGATGCAGACAGGAGTCACACATCAGGAACAGGGGGACAAAAGCAGGACCAGGCAATCAGATCCTTCCCTGCTCTTTGTTGTGAGATTTGTCTCCTTGTGTGGAGCAATCAAGTCCTGGCAGGAAAATGTGCTGGGAGCTGTGAGCAGCAGCAAAGCAGGGGTGCAAAGGGAACGTTCAGTGGAAAAGGGCAGCACCAAGCAGAGCCAGGACGTGCCTGTAACCTGCACACAGGTGAGAGTCTCACTGTGAGGAGAAAATGTCCTGGCTGTGTCACCAAACCATCCCTTGTGATTAGCAAATGAGTGATCTGTCACCAGCACACAGCGATGGCAGCACAGTGTGCCAGCCACCCTGCTGTCTGTCCTCCCTTCTGACAAAGGGACAGCCAGCACCCCTGCCAGCTGTGCCAACAGCAAACCAAACACTGAGCATTTCTGTCATGGCAGTGGGGGAAACAACAGAGGCCATAATTAGGCTCCCACACCCTAAGCAGGTCCAGAGTTTGGGATTTCGGAGCTGCCATCCCTGGAAGTGCTCAAAAAAAGGGCAGAAGTGGCACCTGGGGCCACGGTTTGGTGTGAGCATGGCTGGGTCAAAGGCTGGGCTCCATCTCAGGGGTGCTTTCCAACCTTCATGACTCTAAAAATCCCAGCAATATCAGACACATTTTCATCTTCCCGTTTTTATATGCAAACTCTCCTCAGGTCTGGTTCCCAGAGCTTTCCTGTGTCCGTAATTCCATCAAATCAGACTCAACAGATTGGTGAAGCATTTCTAAAGATCTCAGACACGTCCAAACACATCCATGGACTCCCTCACGTTACAAAGGACAGAGGAGGGTTGGCATGCCCTCAGCAGGGGCATGGACACACCTACACACACAGGGAAGGGTGTTTGGTGCCTTCACTCCAGTTCTGGAACACGACTTGGACCTGAAATCTTCCTCACAATACAAATTCTGCTGAAATAACTACATTAATACAGTTTATAAAATAGAATATTCCTTATTTTAATGCAACATTATCAGTCTAAACCTACTTTCATTTATACAACTCACATATTGAATCTGAATCAGACTTGTGTCATATTGTTTTATTATGATAATGAGAACGTGCTGTTAAAAAGCTGCACTTTATAGCAAGTGGAACTCTGGTGTAGGTGCATTTTCATAGCTACAGAAGTACTTTAACAGTATCTTCTGTTTTGCCAAGGCTCTAAAGCAAGAGAACAGAGCACTTGTTACCACACAGTTTGTAACACAACAGGCTTTTCTAACCCAAAAAGAAGCAGAAGATGGCAAACTTCTCTCTAGAAGTGTAACAGCAGCCAGCACTAGAAAATTTATTGGCACCACTACACTGGTCATAAATCAAACATGATCCTATCTTTACCCTAAAGATTAAAACCACACAAACTTGCCAGGTAGGCCACACCTCCTTTGTTATTGTGGAAGATGGAATGGTTTAAACCTGTCTGCATCAGTAACACTGCATGTTTTTAGAGGCAGAACATTACTATTAACAAAAGAGATCTTCACCTACACTGACAATTAACTCACACCCTCCTCTACACTGAGTAGCTGTAAATTTGCTGCACTGCCTCATGTAAGGACACTGGAGCAAGGGAAATGTCTATTTAACCCAAAATAGCCCCTCTGAAAGCAGATTAAAGATTTATCCCATGTATAAAAAAATGGATGAACCCATCTACTACTATGAATTCATTTATCTCTTTCTATTTCTACTTTTGGCTCTTCATTAACCTGTGCCAGTCAGTTTGGCAATTATGCTTGAGTGAAAAACAAACTCCTCTCGTTTCTTCCACCTGCAACCTGACAACTGGGTGGCACATTGTTCATTCCTGGGTTTTAAAAACCTCTGAATTACCATTTCCTATTTGTTATCTTCATATCATTCATAAATGATATGAACTGCCCTGTCAAAAAAACCTAAAACACCCTCCTAGACACTGTCTCCTCCTCTCAATGTAAATTTTTTATTGCCACCAAGGTAGTTCTGTTATTATCTGCAGGATGGAAGGATCAGAACTGTATAGACAGTATAGAAATGTGAATGTGTGACTGACTCATGTAATGGCTTAATAATAGCTTCCATTCTGCCCTTCATGATTTTTTTAATTCCTACATCTTTATCTTTTTGAGTCTGATAAGCATTAGGTCTTCAAGGAAGAGATGAATGATATGCCAGCACTGTTTAATCTACTGAATCTGGAGTTTTTGCCTAAATGAGACTTTCAGAATAAAACATAACTTTTTTATACAACTGCAGGAAGAATACTCCACATACTATAGGACCTGTCCTGCCAGCCTGGCATACTTAAAATAATCAAATCATATCTAGTATCTACATTTAATTTTTTAAATATCAGTTTTAACCCACTTAAATGATTTGACTTTGCTGTATTTGGGGACAGAGAGAGTTCAGTTTTAAACATGCAGTTCCATGCTAATGTAATGCTTACAATCACATCTTATGCTTCAGGACTTCAGCTACTCAGCTGTGAAATCATCTTTTTTTCCTTAATCTGACTCCTTTGGACCACAGCTGCAGAAGGGCATCCAGCAGAATGAGTCAGTTCTCCTGATGTGTCTGGTTATTGTCTTCTGATTTATCTATTTTCTTTACTTTAAATTTCCAGACTTTTGAAGAAGGCAAATATTTTTTTTTTTTTGTGATTCAAACTTTCAAAGCTCATTACAAGAGGTTTTTATGACATGTAGTGGCAAGGAGTGGTCTCAGGTACTCCCATAACCCCCATTTTAAGATTAATATTTTTAATACAGAAGAGTAATTTGAATTCTTTCAGCTGTATTTTCTATGGGAAGCATCATGGATCAGGAATTGCTTCCTTCCAAGGAGGTCAAAATCACTTTTTCTTACTGAAAGATGGAAATTTTATTTCATGTCATTTTAAATTTAATCCTTTATTTCTTTCCTAAACTGCTTAAAAACCCAGACCCTTCAGAGGCAAGATGTGAATGCCTGTGCTCCACTGGCCAGGCAGAAAATGACATTTATTCATCTTTTTCTAGTGGCAGCAATAATGACAGGATTGTGTCTGTGATCTCTGGAAATTCCAGCAGTGGCCTCCTCTGTATAAATACACACTCTGCTGTTTCCTTCATCCACTCCTTGTAGAAACAACCATATCCTGAAGGTGACCTCAGCTGATCAGTCAGGTGATGTCTCTTGCTGGTCAGCCCTGCAAAATGTACTTACTGCAAGGAATCTCCAGGAGCAGCAACTGGGACTAAATCAGAGCCCCAGGAGCTCCTGTGGACTAAAACCCTCCCCAAATCCCCAGTCCAGTCCCCAAATCCCCAAATCCAGCTCTGCAGGATTTCTTTAGAAGGTGCTGTGCTGCTGTGCCCAGGACTGTGTCCCCTTTTTTCTGTCTTTTTCCTGAAGGAAAAGCAGATGGAGAGGAAGAGAGCCAAGCTGCCAAGGCAAGATCTGTAAGTCTGACAGCACGTGGGGCGAGCTGCATCCATGAGGAAACTCATCCTTCCCTGAGGGCATCTGGGCTCACTTCTGTCCCACACCAAGGTACAGCACCAGAGCTCACTGCTGTTCTATGGCCTCCAAGCTTCAGTCCCACTCCATAAGCAATTCTTCACTAAACATCTCTGATTTCATAGCACTGAGCAAGCTCAGATCCCATCAGGAGTCAGCTGTGAAAACAAACCTGGGAGAACATCACTTTCCTGCTCTAAGCTGGTTTTCCATGGACGTCTCCTGTGGCAGTGCTACCTTTCTGACTGATGTTAACCTGCTGTAAATTCTACAGACAGACATCAGGGGCATTATTTATGGCAAGAAGCTGCTGACAAATCAAATCTTCTGATGGGTAAAGAGGAGCACACGAGAACCCCCCCAAAAAAAATCTTCAATACATTTCAGTGACCCCAATTGCACCTACAGTTATAAAATAGAAAATGTTTTAAGCATTACAGGATGACAAGCAAGGCTTAGCAGCAGCAGCAGGTACAGGATGTGTTACTGTCTCCCTCAGTAGTTCCTTATCAGCCTGACTCTAATTGCTGCTCCCTCATTGCTCTTTTTCATTTCCATACATTGCAAGATGACAGGGAGGGCTCCTGCCCCAATTCCCAGGTACACCAACACGCATTAATGGAGCATGTGCAGAGACAAGCACTTGAAAACCCTCTGCCTGCCCTCTCTTGACTGCCTCATGATTAATAGCTACCTTTGGAAGATTTCAAAGATAGCATATCAGCATTAAAGGAGTGCACAAGGCTGGACTATAACTCAGGAGTGATGTGTTTTAATAAAAGATCAAAATACTCTTCTCTGTGCTGGGATCATTTTAGTAGAAACCACAGTATAGGAAAACAGACTGACAGCCAAGTCAGTACTTAAATTTTTACAGTCAATATAAAACCAGACCTTTTTAAAATATGAAACAATTCCCAGTCTCATTGTTCTGGGAGCCTGTTTGCTGCCAATGTAATTATTTTTGTTGAGTGTTATTTTACACTGGTATAGTTAAGACAGAATAATGTGTAAAAGCCCATTTTTTGCTATGGGCAGCATAAGCACATTTTAACATTAGTTAGAGGAAACCCAGGGCCTTGGAGGAGCTGTGGGTCTATGCAAAAGCAGGAAAATTTTAAGTTGGGCTACTGGGATGGGAATTAGCTGTGACCACACCCCTCCACCTCCAGGCAGATGCACACACACAGATCATTTCATCAGCAGCTCACTGCAATGTTTCTATTGTCCTGAGAAAGCCAATAAAAACAAATTGCTCGTATAATTAAATACCCTTACAAGCACTTCAATCTGAAAGTGTTATTTCCATGACAGACAGCTTGACATAAAGCAAATCTTTGGGACTGGATATATTTAGCTCCATAAGAGTGCAAGCAGACTTTGGATCACACTTCAGCTCCTGCCAGCTGGAAACCCAGAACATCAGAATGTGAAGCTGTGTTCAAACTCAGGGTCTGGAATCCCAGTGACTGCACATTGCTCTTCCAGCATCTCACTGCAAACTTGGGAGTTTTATGAAGATACCACAGGGAGGGAGCCTGGAGTACAGCTGGAGAATGGGGCTGATGTCACTCTCACAAAGTTCTTACCAAGACTGATCTGAGTGATACTGAAATCAGATGCAAGGAGCTGCCCAAAGTAACTCTAAACATTAACTCCACCCTCCTTGCTGAAATGACAGAACAACAACCTGCACAATTAAAAGTAGCAGCTGCAATTAGAAATAGGTGATGTCACAAAGTCCCACAAGAAAAATTCTTAAAATAAAAATTTACCTGATAACATAAGTTCTAAAGGGTATAATGTGCTGCATGACAGCAGGGATGTGTAGCCATATTCTGATCTATAAAGCAAAAACAGAAATAGATAAAGATTTCATTAATGACATTTAAAGAGAACTGAAATACTCTTGGTACATTTGCACATGCAATCCCACTTTCAAAATATAATTTCTTGGTGGTTTGTGTTCAACTTCTTCATTTTCTGATTTTCCAAACTGGTACCTGAGGAATGCTTTTTTGACTTATAAAGAGGATTTGCATCTTTCCTGCTGGTCAGCTGGAAAACCCAGACTTTGTATAAACAGTAACACACTGCCCAGGTGTATTTTTGTATTTTGTATTTTCTGTCATTTCTTCAGTAGGAAAAACTGCTACTCATCGTTGTGGGTTTTTTTTCCTTTTTCTTTAAAAGTCTACATGAAAATTATTCCATTCTTTCAGTTCCTTGCAAACCACTCCTAAACCAAGTTACACTGTTTGACTTGTGTTGTTTTGCTTCTTAGAGCTTACATATCCTTCAAAATAAGATGTTTTACAAGCAATGATTAAGCAGAGTTTTTTACTACCATATTTGCATTTCTCATATTTACCATTCTGCCTTTACCACCTTTGCAAAGCTGATTGCAGGAATAAACGCAGAGGGAAAAAAAAACACAAAACAAAAACCAAACAACCTGAAACAGCTACTTAGCACCGCTGTGAGGAAAAGCACCCACCAAAGGCTTCCAGAGGCAAAGTCAGAAGTGCCATCTGCATTTCAAAAAGGAATTCAGAGCCTGTTAAACCTGTTACTCCATGCCAGGTAAGGGCTGGAGCACACATGAAGCAGCAGCTGCTCCTGCCCACGTAAATTCAATGTAAATTCAATCATGTGCACTTTGCACAGCCCTTGTGAAAGCAGCCCCATCACTCACTCAGGGCCCTGCATCCCCACCTCTGCTCTTAAAAGAATTTCAGCTTGATGCAAGAAATTCTGCCTAGGGACTCAATTCCACATGCAGAAAATGTATATATTCCCTATATTCCTTCTTGACAGGAGAGAAAAATATTAGGCTGCAGTCAACTTCTCAGCAGCTTTTCAACATTTCCAGCATTCACCAAGGAACTTTCTGAGGCAGTTCTGACAAAAATATTGGCAGGCTTACTTTTAACAAGGCAACAAGCACTGCACAGTGACAATATAACCTACTTTGCAAGACAAACCAGCCAAATCTTCCCTCTGCAAAAAAAGACCACACTTGGAAAAAGCTTCTGATCCAACTGGCAGCCTCAAGAAGGGAAAAAATGCTAACATCCCAAAGATACAAAGTGTCACTCGAAGATGCTCGCTCTAGAAACAGGAATTAAATAACATTTTGACAAGGAATTGCAGGGGTGACAAAGACACTATTGTGATTACACCACTTTTAACACCATGTACTCTGCTTCGAATACAGTATGAAACACCAAAGAAAACACATTTCTTTGAGAAATAAAAGTATGAAATGTTTTTTAAAACACAGTATGGAATATCAAAGAAAATACATTTCTTTGTGAAATAAGTGTATGAAATGTTTTTTAAAATACAGTATGAAACACCAAAGAAACTACATTTCTTTGTGAAATAAAAGTAAGAAATGTTTTTATCATTTTGTTTTTATAGCTTTCACTGTTCACAGTAAGCTTCACTCTGTATTAGCTCCAACTCCTAGACTGAAATCATGCACCTGTAAACTTGCATTGCACACAACCTTCAGCCTCAGAATTCAATGAAAGCATCATTTCACATGTTACAAATGGAATTGTGATTTTGAATAAGGATTCACATTTGCATATTCACTTGTTAAAATGACATAAAAGAACATATTTAAAATTACATCAACTAGCATCTGTAAAGTGACAAAAAATAAAGTTACATCACTTTTTGCTTCCACTTGATTTTAAGACAAAGCATTCACTGCATCTGTTCTGTTCTCAAGTTTCAGAGAGTTTTTTTTATTATTTGCTCTTTGCCAGAGGTAATTAACTTCTAGAAGGCAGTGGCTAAAGAACTCCATCTTACAAACTTGAAAAACAATTCCAGCATGGAGATTTCAAGGAATCTTTAAGAATGGCAACTTAACTGCCATTCTCAAGAGTTCCTACAGGTGTGAAATTGTATTTCAGGGCTACTGCACACTGTGGGCTGGCTCTACATACTGGAACAAGGTAACATGGACACTGCAGAGCCATTACTGGAATAAATCTCTATATCCCATTAAATCAAATGTGTTGGGATAGAACCAAGGCAGATTAGTAGAGTTCTTGCTGAGACCACCACTATCCTGTTCAGTTTTGAGAATGATTCTTTTGGTTTAAGTGGAGCTTGGTGCATTGGTTCACAATCAGCAACATCTCTGCAATTATTAATATTTACCTAAGTTCTATGAATTATACAGTGAAATGATATAAAAAACAGGGAAAGAGAAACATTACATCAAAACCCTACCTTCATGCATCATTACAGAGGTGGAGAAATATCTTTTTTTAATATTGGCAAGATAAAATGTACTTTGTCCAAAAACTTAGCTGTCTCATTTGGCTGCAATGAATACACTGCATTTGGAAGGCAGCAGTGCTCCCAAGTACACTGGGTGATACCAAAATGCAGCAGGGGGATGAATAAAGCTCCTTACACACAGAACATTTTCTTATACTTTCTGTAGTGAACTGATATAAAAATAAAAACTAAACACAATTTTTTAAACAGTTTTCCTCAACTCACACAGATTTGTCAGCAAAGCCAGAGCTCAAAATAAAGATGGCTGTTGAATGGGAAAAGCTGCAATGCTGGAAGGGGCTGAAGAAACAGAACTTTTAGTTATGGTTTGGGATGAATTTCATTTTATCTGCCACATTCAGCCACAGAACTCATCTGAAACTGCTGCAAGAGCCAGTTTAACTGGTTACCCACTAGAACCACAGAGAAATGCAAAGTTGCTAAGTAAATATCTGAAAGGAGAAACTTCGCTGAGAAGTATTTTGGAACAGGGGACATCACTAAGAATAAAGAAAATAAACTATTCATGCAGAGAAAAAGAAAGACTTCCAAACAGGACAATGAATACAGGCAGAATGCTGGTTTGAAAACACACTGGTGTGATAGGGAGCTGCCACTCATTATTAAAGTAGCTTTGCCCCTTCTCACAAAAAATAAAAATGCAAAAATGGCAAACTTCTGGTTTTCTTTTTGCCCATTCACAAGACAGGTCACAACTTCTATCCTGACATTACACTGACATAAGTCGTCAATGTCCCTCTTCAGAGACTGGGTTTTATTTTTAGCACCAATTTCCTTCAAATCTCCACTAAAATCAATTCATAATTCTGCCAATCAAAAATCCCTGCGATTTCAAAATGCAGACATGATGGAGGATATGAATTCTAAAACTAAGTGGGGAAAAAAAGATGATTACTTCTATGCTGCAAATGTGTATAATGGTATAAAATCACAGGAAATTGAAGAGAAAAAAAAATCCACAGGCTTTTCCTCTGTGCCTCGGAGGGAATAGCTAAGAAGTTAAAATACCCCGAAGAAACTAAAACCACTCTCATGGCACAATTTCAGGGACACAAATGGCCTCTGGCAACATTCTTTGGGGGCTGTTACAATCTTCCTATCTAGGTATAACGTGCAAACTCCTTGTGTGCTGCCAGGAGATGCAGAGGGCTTGGATAATGAAACAGTGCATGAACAACTATGGAGAATGAGCAGCCTTTTTACCCCTCTCTGGTCCCAGGGAGTGCTTGCAGCCTGCAGATAGCGCTGGTTGGTGGTGCTGAAGCAGAGGAGGGGGGATATTGGAATAAGATCCCAACATTCCAGGTAGATTGTGCCTGGGCCAGTCTGACCCTCGCTGCTGGGCCAAAGGCAGCAGCTGTGGTGCATCACCCCAGAGACACCTTCGGCTTGCTGGAGAGTGCAGCTGGGCACTGAACAAGCCCAGGCTCGGTAGGAACTCCGTTTGCCTTTGGAGAGAAGGCTTCAGGCTAATGGTGAGGAGGAAAAGGAGATGGATTCTGCTGGAGGGTTATATCCATGGTCACAGAGGTGTGAATGTCAGTAACAACTCCAACAGAATCCTGAGCACAGTCTCATTGCCTTTTGAAGCTCCCCGGGGAGGGGCAGAATGACACCCAGACAGCCAATGAGCTCTGGGCACAGGGGCATCTTTTGAACTTGCCCAACCACACGATGCCTTCCCGGAATGTTAAGCCTGACTGACAGGACTCACTCAGCAAGGGAGAGAGGTATTGCCACACCTGGGAAGGGACCCAGAAGTCTGAACCAGGCCATTCCAAGCCCACAGCAGGGGACACTCACATTGGACACCACGGTGATGAAGGCGTGCGCGATGAGGAAGGGCAGCGTCTCGGGGGTGCCGTACTCGAAGCAATCCTTCATCAGGGCCAGCCCGTTCTTGCCGCAGAACAGGCACACATAACGCAGCAGGTGCAGGGGCACCTCCACATCCTGCCAGGGGCAGAACCAGCACAGCATCAGCACCACATCACACACACAGCAAACTCAAACACACAACTCCATAGAACAGCGTTAAATTTCTAGCATTAAAAGTGCACAACTTACGTTCATATCACAGAACGCCCCTAATATATTGCTTTCTTGAGCAGAAATATCCTGTTTAAAGAAAAAAAATAAAATTAACTCAAGCAATAAAAGCACATTTATAGACCAAAAAACCAACTGCCATTTAGCAGGTATCACAGTCAACAATAAAAAACCAAATTCCTCATTCAGAGCAAGACAGAAGCTCAAGCTTGTCTCCACTTTTCCACTGCAAAACAGACTTTTCCAAACTTCTTACCTCTTTTAATATATATAAATACACAGATATACTTAAAAGAACACTTCAGCAGTGTCTGGATGAACAGATTATTCTTCAATCCCACCCCTGCTCAGATCACCCATTTTTTTCAACAGGAATATGGCCAAGGGCTGTGTGTCTGTCACACCAGCCTGAGAACACACAACAAAACCAATCCAGCGACCTTGGAATGCAATTTCTAATAAAGATGAGACATATATGCAAACATCTGAATTTAGATGAACTGCAGGACATCCTACAATCCTACATGTAATGACTGAAAGGGTTAAAATGTCTAAATATTCACTGCCATTTAATTTCAATCACTACATTTTTATATGTAACAAAACACCTGTTACAAACTAAATGTCAGACTTTTACAGGAGTGAGTGAAGTGAAGAAGGGGAAGGAATTCTATCACCCTATCACTCTGTTAGCTACTTGCTGCAACAAGAAATCTATTTTCTAGAAGCACTAAACTTAAAATGGTTTAGGAAAACAGCTTTACTTTTTAATGTCCACTTGCTGGGCAGTACAGAGTGGGACATTTCTTTATTAGGGCTGTAACATATTGTGGTTCCATGCATTTGCTGGGGGCAAAAGGGCACCGGAGGTATAAAAAGTGGCTGTAAAACCCAACACTGCCAATGGACACTTGTAGGAAAAACCACACATTCCTCTTCTCACCCCTCCATGGCAAACACCCAGTATTGACAGTCACAAATCAAATGCAAGTTTAACACAAAGTTAAGTTTTTAAATGAAATTTCCTGAATATATTTTAAATAGCTGTGTAGGAGTAATCCTAGAACTGTACCAGAGGATGCTGGAGGCAAGCAATTTTGGATGGATTAAGTGTGATACAAACATTTTGAATTATTCAATATGCTCATATTATAGCTAAGCATTTCTTTTCTTTTTTTCTTCTGCTGAACTCTAAGTCATGCCTGAACTCGTGATACTCCACCAGTTATTTTTAAATCAGCTTTGAAGGCAGTAGGTGGTATGTTTTTAGGCAGCAAGAAAAGGTGTTCAGTGCTCTGCTCATGAAAACTGCAGAAATGGCGTGAGAAATTTCATTAGTTTTCTTAAGAAAACAAGAGCTTTGTTGTCAAGTGAACTGCAGTTCTTAGAATGCAGAAATCCCAAACTCACAGAGGGCTGCTGCACGAGTCCTGCAAAGCTTGGGAAAGGCTGCTCTGAGAGACTGAAATGTGAATTCTGCTCTGCAGATGGGAAACAGAACAGTCTGAGAGTTCCTTACTCTCCTCCTTTTACTCTTTCCAACTGCATGAGGAAAATAGAGAACTCCTCATATAGCACTGAAACCCACCCTGAGTTCAGAAGCCAGAGCAGCTCTCCAGGACCTTTACCTGGAGCAAAGCTGGAGAGGGGCTTTGAGGAAGGCAGGCAGGGATGGTGCTGTCCCAAAGTACACAGCAAAAGGAACAGGGGGATGGCTCCACAGTGCCAGAGGGCAGGGCTGGACTTGGCATCAGGGAGAAATCCTTCCCTGGGTGCCCAGAGCAGCTGGGGCTGCCCCTGGAGCCCTGGCAGTGCCCAGGCTGGGTGGGCTGGGGGCACCCTGGGACAGGGAAGGTGCCCCCAGGGAGGGGAGGGGATGGGATGGGATGGGAGAGCTCTAAGGTGCCCTCCCAACAATCCATCACAAAATGCACTGGCTGAGGTCTGACTGGACACAAGCCTGGCAGAAAGCACACATCTGCCCAGAAAATATTGACTTGAGAAGGAGAGGCAGAGAGCAGGAGACCCCAAAGAGCTGGGGACTGCAGCTACAGGCACCTCAAACTGATTTGGTTCCTCTTTCATTTCATCCTGTCAAGATCTGGTAAATGGTCAGGGAACTCCCTTCAGGTTCTTTGTTCATTCTGAGACAGTGCAAAGTTCAGGAGTGCACTTCACACTGCTGCTTCCTTCTCTGCAGGATTTTGAGAGCTTCCTTTTATAAATTCTTTCCCGCCCCCCTCCTCTGAAGTGCCCATTCCAGGTATTCCACTGGCTGCACTATGTAAAGGATACAGTTACAAACCACCCTGTATGCAAGGGATAAAAATATCCCATAAAGTAAAAAAAATGCATGTCAAAGTATGAACATTCCTCAAAAAACCAACCATATATTTAAAAATACTTTGAGTTAATTTTGTTTAGGATGAAAAATAGACATGTATATCCCTCTGGGCACCAAAAATATTGATGAATGTCAAGAGAGGTGTGTAGATGGCTCCTCTGGATACCAACCAGGCTGTTGTGGTCTTCACTGTCACATTAGGGATGTTGTAAGGGACAAAAACAACTCTTAGCCCACAACTTTTAAGGAAAGATCTGCATGATCCTACAGGTACAGACACCTTTCTGACTCCCAACAAATCTGGCTTTGCTGCTCATTTTCATCCAGCTTCATCAACTCCTGAGGAGGGGAAACCTCCTGCTCCCACATGAATGTTTGCTTCCCCAGCAGACAGCCCAGTGTCCAATGGCTTTGGCAGCAGCTCAGAAGGAATCAGAATTCAAGACTTGAAGAACAAAGGCCTTGGAGCAAAGGACAAGGGAAATATTGACCACTAATTGTTACTGTGGGAAAGCCTCACACTGGGATTTCCTACATGGCAGCCTAGGCACAGCAAACCCTTAATGGATGTGATAACTCCAATGGAGTTATGCTCAATAACTCCATGAAACTGTCAAAGTTCACCTCAAGGATCTAATACAAGGAATTTCTGAAGTCACTCAAAGTGCAGACTGGAGTCTGTTCTGGATCAGCAAATTTCCTTTTTTTCCAGGGCAATGGAAATGCTTGGTGGGAGAGGGAGAGCTACACCAGCTTCTCCCAATACATTTTTTGCAGATTCAGGCTGTTCAGGATCTGTTTAACTTACAAGTATAGCTAATGCACTCATAGCAGAGATTTTTTATTTTAGGATCTCTTGAGGACTGAAACCAAGCCTGATTTAAAGCACAAAGTGCTCTTATTACTGGGACTAATAACTTGTCTCAGTTCAGCTAAGATGTGCTCTAGACTGAAATCCAAAATTAAATTCTAGACTTCAGTGAGTCACTCATGGGAGCAGAAAGTTTTGCCATTAAAACAGCAGAATAACAGAATCCTAGTGCCTCCCAGATACAGAAAATATCAGTTGGTAAGAAAAATTATTGATGCTGGGACCTTTTAAAAGCAAAATTTAAAACTCTCTCCCACTAAAAAAAGGCATACAAATATGGCAGGCTGGCACACCTCCATAACCCAGACCTGGAAACACACAAAGTCTAGCAGAAAGGAAAAAAAATCCCTTACCTGCCAGTACCTCACTGGTTTTCTCCCCAGCTTCCCCTTAAGTTGTGTTTTTAGGCTAGCTAATGAATGTATTTGACAATTCAAGTGATGTATAAGAGATGATACATGTATTATATATCCACTGCTATGTCTGGAGTGAGGGGCATCATCACAGCACAGCGAGTACAACAGAGCTGGTCTAAATCACTCCCAGGCTGCACAGCAAGGGAAAAGAAATCCCATCAGGCACCTGAGAGCTCCTTTTGATCATTTGGAAATGAAATTCAAAGAGAAGGAAAGAATACATGAAATAGTAATTCAAGAGAAGGACGTGTGATAGTCCACAGAAAAGCTGCTCCAGAATTGTTCATCCCACATTGCTCTGAAGCCACTCCTGGTACATGTCCCACAGGAGTGCAGGAGATAAATCAATTCACTTTATATCTGTACAGACACACCTGAGACTCCCTCTGTTAACTCATGCCCTTATGGTTTGGAGAGGAACAAGAACCAAAATGCAGCCCACCTAAAAACCTGCTGTGTAGGGGGCTTGAACTCCATTTCTTGTCTCATCCATTCCATCAGAACTGATCAGATGCTGTGACCACCCTAACTCACATCATTCTATCTGACTCAGCATCTTCTCATTTGGACTTAAGTTTATAAAGCAAATTTCAACCCTCAGGGCTCCAGTGAGCTCCCACAACTCTCTAAATATAAAATAAAAGGAGTGGGTGAGCTGCACTTTAATTCTCCACTCTTTCTCAGAAGTTTGTTGGATAGAAGCTTTTCCTATATAGTGAAATGTACATCTAATTTGCATACAAATATTGTAAAATAACTCTTTACTTGTTCTTAGACTACCACAGGCTGGACCAAAAGCCAACCATTCCAAAAATGTGTTGTTTCCATTAGGAAATGCTAACACCATCATATTTATTTCAGAAACTGTGAATTAAACATGGCAGGATTTTGGAATTAATTTTTTTAAGAGGAAATTTTGGGAAAATGTGAATGGCAGCCATAACAAATATCAGAGAGAAAAATCAGCACCCTGGAACAAAGCAATCTGTGTTGATCTCAGCTATTCCAGTCAATTAACCAGCTGTTCTAACAAGTCTGGTCTTGCACAAAGTTTAGTTTATGAAGTTTTCCTTCTAGAACCATAAATTGGAAAGAAAAATTAGTAAACTATTCATGGGTTACCTTCTGGAAGAAAGGATTTGCTGGAGTCCCCTTTTGGCCTACCCGTTATTTAAACGGCACAATAATTCAGTGTACAGTTCCAGCCAGCTCCTATCAATATATTACCTATAACAATTAAGCACAATTTAAAGAAGGTGGAAGAGGATGTATATATTTATACAGAGCTGAAAAGCTCTGCTGAAGTGAACAGGAGAGCTGAATGTGCCTTAGCAATATATTACCCATAACAATTAAGCACAATTTAAAGAAGGTGGAAGAGGATCTATATATTCAGAAAGTTTCTCTGAACAGCTCTACTGAAGGAGAGCTGAATGTGCCCATCCTGAGTGAAAGCAATCTGCTCATTAATGACAACAATTTCACCAAGACAGACACCAAGAGAAGCTATACCTCTATTGTGGGGTGGGTGTTATGCTTATAAGCTGTGTAGAGAGGAAACTGAATCTGGAAGATTTTTGCCACACACAGCAGCAGCTTCTCCTTCTCATCAGTGCTCCACAGGCTGAAGGGCTCTGTGCTCTTGGTGGGCTCCTCCTCGCCCAGGATACAAGTTCGTGCAGAATCAAACTTGTTCTCTAGAGGTTTTTGTCTTTCTCCATTTTCTTCTTGGTGGGATTCTCTCTCTACATTCAGGGGCTCCTCAGCATGGTGGCTCTGCTCTGGCCATGTTGGATCTATGTGAATAGTGCAATGTTTACAGAGCTGGTCCCTCAGAGCTTGCACTTGGGCAATCACCAAGTTAATCAGCGCACAAACCACTTGGTTAAAGATCTCCAGATGTTTATATTCCTTGAAACAGCACAAACATTGTCTGTAAGGAAAGAAAAAAATAAATGAATAAAAATTCCTACAGTTAAAATCAGCTGGGTACTTCACCAAGAGAACTCTTCACATTAAAACATTTGAAACAACAAGTTATTTGACAGAATCATAAAATGAAGGAAATCCAAATGAAACAGACTCCACCCAGCAGCAAGTGGGAGTCACAGAACCCTCCTTAAGCCTTGAGAACATCCCATTATTTCCAAATGCTTGCCCAAACTATGAAGTCCCTGTTATCACTTAGCAGCTGGTACAGCAAGTAAAATATAGAAAAAAAGCCTTGTGGGCAAGGTCACTGTGCTACTGAAGAAGTCCCATTTTTCAGTATGTTTCTGACTCCATTTCCTCATCAGGCTTTCTCTGCTGCTCTTCATTGCAATAAATCATCCTGACATGCTTGTCAGCTGTGTAAGAACTCCTTATTGTTATTTTCAAATCAACAGGGCTGCAAAGTAATTTTATTTTTAATGGAGTATTCAAGTTCACTTCCTTTATCTGCATGTGGATGGTGATGCCTTGCACACTGATATCCTCCATCCATCTAGGAAAAGGCAGCTCAAGTATCTTCAGTGCTTTCTTCACTTGGCAGGCTCAGAGATTATTCCCCTGCTTACCTGCTGACCCACTGTAGACTGCAAAAGAGGGGAAAGCATCCCTTTGACAATATCATTAAAAAAATCAATTAAACCATCAAGTTCAACAGTTATAATGTAACTGTTGTTGTGGGTAAGGATGAACTGTGGATGCCAAAGAGCTTGTGGGTGCACAAAGCCCTGAGGCAGGTACCTCAGCCTCTGCTTCTTCCACACAAAGCAGCACCTCCCTCACTCTGACCAAAAGGTGGAGGACATTCCTGCAGAAGGATTGAAATCTGGAGAACACAGCCAAGAAAGCCACCCCTGCACTGGCCTTACTCACTGGAGAACAACAGGAAGGCTCCACGCCTGTGACAGACAGAGGGACTCTGCCCTTCCTCAAACCCTACCACACGAAGTAACTGCTACATAACTGGGAGCTGCCTTGCAGCAGAGATCTTCTCCATCTCCTGTCAGACACACAACAATGGGCTCCACTACACAACCAGAGCTCTCAGATATTAAAATACAAAAATCACATGGACCACTTTGAAAAGAAATCAGGAGACAAAAGACAGGGCAAGAAATAATCAGTAAGTAGCAATGAATTTTTTTTCTGCAAACACAGCATTTAATTTAAAGACTGGGGTTAATAAATTATAATTTTTAGGGGGAAAAAAATCAAGAGAACCCAGAGCTGTGACAGGTAGAGGGTGCTGCCTCTCTTGATGGAACACAAACATGCCCCTGAGCTACAGCTCTTAAAGCACATCCTTTCTGAATACAGATGTTTATTTTTTCAGTGGGTTAGACCAAAAGGTAACATTCAGGATTCCCTAATTCCAGCACAGATACAGTGACTGAAGCACCTAAACCTCTTTGTTCCATTTGTGCAGGGAAGAAAAATCCCTTTAATGTTGTGTAAATGGAGTTTCACCCATGTGAAAAAGATTCTCATCATTTACTTGGGAATGTATTTTCATGTTAACAAACGACAACACGGGACTGCAGGCAAAACCCAGGGTATCCTCAACCATTTATCCTGGGGGAAAATGATGCTCAAAACTCCATCACTTGCCTACAAATTACTGACCCACTTAAGAGCAACAAATCACCCTCACTAACAATGAAAACAGCCTGGTGAAGGCTTCTCACAAACTGCAGAATTCTTTTCCAAGACAGGTATGTGCAAAACCTCTCAAGTCTTCCTCTGCTGGAATGTGGAAGAAGAGCTCCACCAAAAATTGAGGAGATTAATAAAAAATGAGGATGCTACTTCTTTGAACATAACAATTTCCAGAAGAAAAGTAAAATGGAAATACTGCACACACATGGAAGAAAAAGGTGCTCTTCAGGAGCAGTCACCAAGTGATCTTCTGAAGGAAAGCAGAGATTTAAACCACAGGCAACAAAGGCAAAAGCAGTTCTTAAGGAAGGCCTCAACTCTCAAAAGCCCATTTGGCAGAGCAGAGACAGGACATGAAAATAAAATCTCAACCAAAACTCCTTCCTGTGGCCTCGTTGTCAGACTCCCCTTTAACCAGCCCAAGGACTGCTCTCCAGGCTCTTCCAGTATGAGCCCACTGCATATGGAAGGCAACAAGGAAATCAGAAGAAAATAAAGAGTTAAATATTATCCAATCTTTCTTTTTTTTCTTCTGGTTGGATTTGTCAAGCTGTAGAAGAGAACAAAACTCTGAACAGATGATGACCTGGAAAATGGGGTTGCAATTGTTCTCTGACAAACTTGGCATCTAGGACCTGTCAAGAAACGTCAGGAGTCTGGTTCCCATGCCTGCTGTTTGTTTTGATTTAAAAATTCTCTCTCTGTCTAAAAGCACATGGCAGAAGAAAATGAACTTGGCTTTTAATTTCTGGACAAAATGAGGAAGAGGAGGTTTCCTATTTCACAGGTATCCAAAATGTGACATTCCATTTTTTTTTTCTTTTAGAGTCTTCTAAACATCCAACTAGTATTTTCCAATTTGTCCTCCATGCTTTTCCCAATATTACTGATGATTCAGTTTGGTCTTAAAACTACTGCTGAACACTAAATCCCAAACACCTTCACTGTAGGTTCTTTCTAAAAGGTAATATCCATACATTTCCTTGTGCTGGAAAAAAATAAGTAGCTGTGAAATAATTTATCATTATATCATAATGTAATGATACCATTATTTTAAAGAAACAGGCTCAAAGCAACAGGAATTTAAATACTAGATTAAAAGGAATAATGTAATTTAAGATAAAAACATGCAAAGCATTTTCAGTATCATAGCTACTAAACTATGGGCTGCAATCCTCCATCACCTTGACTCAGAGTATCAGAACATGCAGAAAAATTTAACATGATGGTTCCATTCAGTCACCTTTCCTTTAATTCTTCTTACCCTACCCTGCCTCTGCAGAACATGGTCCCAAAATTTCATGTTAAAGCAGCAAGACACATTGATTGTCACCACAATAGAGCAGTTTGTTTTTCTACACAATTATTACAGAATCCAGAATGCCAACTGCATTCAAAACATGCTTTTCCCAAAATGCACTGGGTAACGAGTTTGTTTTATTTCCTAAGTAGTAAAACAGTCTTTATTCTCCAGGTATCACTTAGCTACACATTCATAATTTGCTAATTCTGAACACTCTACTGTATTTTAAAAAGGGAAAGCTGCTGATGGGAGTCAGCATCCTCAGCACTCAAACTCAATCCAAAATTACCTTTGCGTCCACGAGTTGATGTAAGCAAATATCTTGAGGGCATGTTCCTTTCTGAGCTGCAAAGCATCACCACCTTCAATGTCTGATACTAAAGAGAACAAAAACATAAACACAGAAACAAAAACATTAACACATTTTTTAGAAGAAAAAAACCCAACGTGCACTCGTTCTGTTATTAGAAACTACCTTTGATAGCACAGAAAGTAAACACTTTATTGAAACAAAAACTTGTAGATTTGGTTAACAAGGTTTAGATGAAGGTGATTTGGAAACTCAAAGTGCACAATGTTCTTGAACACTGCTCCAAAGGTTTGTGATTGAGAACAGACCCTTCTTGTAATTCTATTTTTATCAAATATTCCTCATAAGCTTTACTGGGAACTCCTGATTGATGTGCACTTTCAAGTATGAACTTTGAACAACTTTACTCATTAACCTGACACCTTCGTTTTGGTCCTTTGTTTTGCTGGGTTTTTTCCCCCCCAGATTTTTAAATGTCTGCATTTTGAGATGACCCTGAGACCTCCATTTCCTTCTCCTGGTCAGATAAAGCCTGAGAAAAACAAGCAAACAAACAAAAGCCAGACCACAACAGAACTACCAAGACAAGAACAATGTGCTGTGCACATATAAGGTTATTTCAGACTGAGCTGATGATCACTGCTATCAAATACAGACACATCTATCGTGACATTTAACCATAATGAATCACTAATTGGCAAAATGATAAAGGCTCACCACATTTGGTACACAGGAAACCAGAACAGTTCTGTGCCGAGTTCAAACCCCAAATGCTTCACTGAGGGATTATCAAATGTCCCACTTCCCTGCAGAAATGCTTCTGCACTCCAGCAAGGCCAACACCAGCGGGGCCAGGCTGCACTTGGGCAGCACCTGGCTATGCCCCAGGGCACTGCATTCTGCCTCCTGTCCCCAGTGCACAACTCCTGCCTCCTCCCAACATTTGTACAATTATCTAACTGCTACACAAACCAAGGTCAGCATTGCTCTGAAGGGGATCTTGGCATTTATAACACACCTAAGTTCTCATCTCCCCATTTCAAGTATCACACAAATCCACTTCACAAGCAAACTTTGTGGGAAAGGCTCTCCAACAGCTCTGAGCTCCTCAGCATCCCTGTCCCAGCCTCAGCCCTGCAAGGTCCTGCCTGATCCATCCATGCAGCTTCCCAAAAGCTGCAGCTAATGAAGGTCTGTGGGCACGGATCAGAAAGCAAAGCTCAGAGGAAAACCACTTCACAGAATAATCACACTGAATAAATAATTATGATTTCTTTGAAATAAGGACATCACATATGCACACACATCCACATTTCCATACATATGCAACTTCCAAATAAAAACTATCCAGAAAGCAGCCCCTGAGCAGGATACCAGCAAATTTTAAAAACCATTTTTCTGTCTCACTCCTAGAAGGCTCTGAAGATCCTACACAACACTGGGCACAGCTCAAGGTGGAGAAGCAGACTAAAAGATGGGAATTACTCGATATCGCCTTTTATTTTCAACACCACAATTAGCAGGACAGTTAACTCTCTGAAAGACAAAGCACAGCACTGAAGAAACCAAGAACTCCATCACACAATTTAGGTCAAGCTTACCACAAAAGACAGATCTTTAGCTATAGATAGTATCTAAAAAAACAAAAAAGCCACCAAAAAACCCTGCCCAGCATCAAAGGTTCATAAAACTTCTGTTTTCCCAATTCTGTGAGCATTGTTAGTAAGATTAATTCCTTCAAACTAAACAGAAAAAAATTGTTGACAATTAAGTAGCAAAAAGGTGCTTTTACCTTGTAGGATCTCACACAGACATTTCTAACCCTTCCCTCACCCCCACATGACCCCACTCCAACAAACAGGAGTAACTCCAACTCACAGAGCAGCCTTCTCACTGAAAAAGGTTGAATCACTCCTAAATTTCCCTCTTTGAGATTATAAAGAACTGAAAGTTCAGCAAACTGGATCTTTAAAAGCTACAACTGCCATGTGAAGAAGACAGAATAAAGAAGTTATGGAAGTACTGAGCCTAATGCCAAACTAATGTCAAAAGTAGGGAGATTTGCACAAGCTGGAGAACCTGTCATTTTACTGTTTGTACATTCTCCATTTCACACACAGACCAACTTCTACTGGTGCTATTTATTAATCACTGCTAATACAGTGGCTACAGAGGTGATTTCCCTTTGGGTGTCTGTGCCTAGAAACAATCCTGGTTTATTCCTGCAGGCTCCATGCAGCAGGAACCACAGGAGGCTGCAGATTTTACCAACAGTGGCAGTGACACACGGGCCAGGGCTTCTCCTGCACTTCAGCTCCAGTTCTCTTTTGCTCCTTATAAAGCCTGGTGGCTTTGTAATTTGTGTCCTCACAACCAAAATTTCAGTCTTGGGCCTCTGAGTTCCTCTGAGTATCAGCTCCGTGGATGCTCTTGGTTTGCAACACCTCTGTTTAGGGGCACATGCAACTCCAAGTACAGATGCAATTGGTTCTGAAGCATTTCACAGATTTTTTTTTTTTTTTATTAAGGAAATACAGATGGAAAAGCAATAGGAATAAATGCACTGATGGTCATTCCTGGGCATTTTCTGATTTCTGTCAGCTCTGAAAGAACTTCCTTGCTGCATGATTTCCCTTCCAAATGATGAAATCTGCCTTTCCTTTTAAATCAGTTCTCTTCTACCTTGAAGGGGCCTGTAGTTAAAGCAGACCTTAGGAATAAAGCCTGTCCTTTACTCTCTGCCATGCCTCAGGAACTCCTCAATCCTCCTCACTTTCTCACACTTGCACTGTTTCAAATCCAGCAGTACCAATCATGTCAAACTCCTCCAAAAACAACGACTGCACCAAGCCTCCATCCTGCAAATTGATGTGGTAGCCAAGACTTGTCCCTGGTTGCACACCCAGGACAGAGATCCCCACAGAATGCACCGAGCTATCCTGTGTCCCCTCAGAGCTGCCAGGGTGCTCTCATGAGCAAGAGCTGCTGAATGTGCTCCAGAGCTTTCCAGCCAGGCACTCCAGGGTCTCTGAGTTTCTGTCTCAGCAGGAGCACTCCCATCCCAGGCCCGGCTCCCATCCCCAGGCCCGGCTCCCTCACACCTGCAGTGGCTGTTTCTTCCTCCAGGCACTCCCAAAGCAGCAATGTCAGAGATGCTCCCCTTCCCCATCTCTGAGCTCAGCTTTCTTCTCCTTCTTAAATTTGTTCTACCAACTCTTACTTTACTCAGTTAAAGCCTTTTAGACCTTTCCATCCTCCAGTCTTTCCTTTTCCCTCTTCCATTCCCTGCACACAGACACCTTCCCCCAGCACCAGATGCAATTTCACAAGGCCACACCACAACATCTGCGCCATGCATTTCCCACAGCCTCAGCATTCCTGTAGGAACCCTGCGAACTGCACAGACCCAAGTGGCCTCCCCAGCTGAAATGTGCCCACATTCCTGGTGGCTTTGGAAGCCATGGAACACTCAGGCTGGCACCCTGGCAGCAGGGGAAGCTGGCAAGGGAAGGGTGAGCAATGTCAAGGTGGGAGAAGTAAACACCTTTGGAGTAACCAGAGTTGTAAAACTGCCCCGCCCCTCCTGGAGCAGCTTCACCCCAACATTGCTCACCTGTGGTCAGAGATGTGGTCACCATCAGAGTCTCAAAAACCAGAATATTGAAGGCTTTAAACACCCAGAACTAAGCAGCAGAAAGAAGGAAAACTAGGATGCAGGTAAGTTCCAGCTACATATATTTTATCAATACAATGCAGGAAATGGGGTCTTTGCACACACTGGCAAGGGCTCATTTCACTGAGGAGTCACAAGATGGTTTAGAGAACTTTTTATCACAGTAAAACCACAGAACAAAAAGCTGAGCTCAGAACTAACCTGACTTAACATCTTCTAGTGTATAAGTTTTCAGATATTCCTAAAAAAAGAAACCAAAGCAGACTGACTTGAAGTGTAATTGTTTATTCAAGTAGCTGATGAGAAGCCAAAACACACCATGGTCAAAGTAAAAATTTAAAACATTTCATATAAAAAATAAAAAAAAAGAATTTCCTTGCTGTTTCCCCAGTCTCCTGTTTTACTTGGCCAGCTCTAAATGAAAACGTGGGTGATTTACCTAATCTCTCACTGAAGGGTGATTTGCTAAAAGTGTGTTGCAGTACTACAAACAACACAAGCTCCTCACTCAGAAAAATCCCTACAAATAAACTGACTAAACCAAGGAAACGACAGAAAATGACAAAAATACAAACCAATTGCAAAGAAGCAGGCAATACAATTCCAAAACACAACTGTGGCCAGAGGAAGCACAGCTCCTAAGTGCACTTCTAGCAAGAACCTGGAGCTGGAGGAACACACTGTAATCAGACCTCAGGGACAACCATCAGGCTGGACTTGTGGGGAATATCTTATATCCAAAGGTCACTTATCACACCAAGCACAAAATCAAATGGCAAGCAAAAATAATAATTTTAAAAAGCATGCTTCCTCTACTTTCAGCAACAGAACAGAGTCAAAAGTACATAATTCAACACTTTTTAGATCTGTAACTCTAATTTCTCCATATTCCCAACTGTGACAAGGGCCAGTTGCATATGGATTGTGCTCCCTCCCCCAAGCCTCATCTGGTATCAGCTTTTCATGGGAAACATCAGATCAATCAGAGAATGAACATTAGTATCAGAAACTGGTCACTGATACAGAATAACCAGAGGAAATGAGCCATACACTAAACAAAACAGCACTAGGAGCAATAATACTAATATTGAAAGAAATCCATATGTGTGTGTATATATATATAAAAATGTATAACTTTTTGTGTGAGTACCATGCACCCAGCACATTTTTTTCAATACATTGGGATGTTCTCAGTGATTAATAGGGGGTTTATTTTGCTTAGGATCAACAGCATGTAAGATGACAGCCACAGAGTTCAGCATCTCCCATTCCCTTTCTACTTTCATCTATTAGAATTCCTATTTTTATTATACAGAATTCATGACTGCCTTAAATTGATTCACCAGAGCTCTTCCCAACCTTGATAAGTATTTAATGGGACGGTGTCAACTTCAAGTTCAACTGGCCAAACTTCCTACAACTTTTCAGTGAGGATAAAGTTTTCTTTCTACCTCTCAGTTTCTGTACAAAAAGCATCCCAGAATACTCACTAGATACACTTAATCAAAGAGAAACACAAGTGCAGAACGTACTAGAGAAAACAAAAAGTTAATTCCTTGGTATAGAAAACAAAAAGTTAATTCCTTGGTAGAGAAACACTCATTCAAATGCCAGGAACAATGGGATCTGTAACCCAAACTCTAGCACAATAAAATTCCATAATAATGGCCTGGTTAAGGTGCTTGAGTGCCTTTAATGCCACCTTGATGATCACTCATCAACCACCAGAGCATTACAGATACCTACAACCATCTCCATCCCATAAGACACCTCAAATTAATTTCAAGTCTACATCAAACTCCAAACTTCTTCTATTTATAAATATTACACCTTGGTAAATAGATTGCTTTCCTGTAACTTTCTGACTATAAAGTACACAAATATTAAGCACAAAGACAACATAATGGCTTAAAGACAGGAATTAGCAACTTCAGGAGTCTCATTTCCCTAAAAAAACCAAAATGCGATCGTGTCAGACACAAACTTTTGAACAAAGGCAATTTCACCAAAACTGGCAAAGGTTTGCTAGTCTAAGCAGTGCTGTGTTCTGAGGAATGGAAATACAGGAGCTACTCCAAAGAGCAAGGAAAAAGCAGTTTCAGCTGGTGTTCCACCATCTGCTGGTTATTCAGCACCTGGGTAACTCCTCACACCCTGAGATCAGAAGGAGCTGAGGAGTTTTAGTTCAGTCTTCCAGCGCACAGCACAGTTACACAGAGAGCACAGCCAGCCTTGGTACGTTCACCAACCAAACAGCACCTCCAAGATAAAACTTCACCAGAACAAATCAGCTGACCTCAGGTAACTCTGCCTTTATCTTCTGCTCCTCTGCAAACACCAACAAGTTCTCTTTCAATGTCTCCATTCTCATCCCACCTCCCTGTCTGCTCCAGCAAACAAACACCTGTCCTGCTTGAGTCATCCCAAGTTAGTGCACTGTGGAGCAGAGCAGCAGCAGCTGGCTCTGGGCAGCTGTGTGCAATTTAGGAATTGGCACCTTGCAGGAGTGACGGCACCTGAGCTTCTCACCATGCCAGGCCACGTTTGCTGTGGGTTAAAATGCCCCCTTTGGAACGGCTGCAGATGTTCCACCTGAACATAAAAGGTCCTTCTGGAGAGCATCTTCAGATTCCACCTTCCCAAAGAGAACCTGCCACAGCCACTGGTGCCAGCAGCAGCTCCACATTGTTTTAAATGCAGTCAAATGCCAATTATCAGACAATACCCGGATTCACCCAGCACACTGGAGCTGGTTCTACCCAGAACCTCCTGTTGCCATTACAGTACAAGAGTTCTACTGTCAGTACATTGCAAAGGTTCCACATTGCTAGAGTTTCATACCTCCTTGGTGTTCCTTGTAGGCAGCTCCTCTAGGCACTGACTCTTCCTTGGCCTCACAGCAGCCACCTGACTCCAGTTCCCTCAGCCACCCAACCCACTCTTTTATAGCACTCTTCTATTGGCTACAGCTGTGGCCTGTTAACATCAGGCTGCTCCTGATCCTCAACAATTGGCTCAGCTGCAACTCTTTAGGGGGTAAGATTACTTTCTGTATTACCTTTATTTCCTGATGTTCTATCCCCCTACAACCACAATCTAAATAAACTCAGATACAGCATCTGAAATGCAGGACAGCTGTGCAGCATGAGCCAGGCCAGGTCTAGCAGCAGCACTGCACACAAAGCCCAGCCTAAGTTCCCACACCACATAACCTCACTTCTGCCACTCAGTGAGCACAGCTCAAAGCTCAGCAAAACTGAATCCACACATGCCCAACAGTGGCAACCTGGCCAGGGTAAGATGGGAATGTGAAATCCATCATTGATAATTATGATAAATATTGCTATATTAATTGATATAATGATCAATGCATAATACATAACTGAGGCTGGGTTGTGGCAGTGACTGAGGAAGCAGCAGCATCCCACGCAGCACTGAGCAGGGATACAGAGGAGATTCCCATCACAGTTCAGGGAGCAGGATGAGCTGCCATCAGTCAAACACTGTGTGATGCACATTTGGCCTTTTTGATCAAACACCAGGAGGAAATGGGTCAGACCAGCTTGTGGGATATCTGGCTGGGAATGGAATTCACCTTGCTCTGGCTCTGCCGGCCCAGGAGGACTGACCAGGAGTCTCCACATTGTCCTTACCACACCCCAGCTTTGAGAGGGCTGCTGGGCCCAGCAGGAATGCACAAAGCTGCTCTGGCCAGGGGGTGTCCAGGCTGCTGCATTGCCATGGGAGGCTGGAGCACAGCAGGGCGAGCCTGGCTCCAGCAGCGTTCCTCAGCACTGCTTCCATGGCAGTCATGTCAGACAGAAGGATCTGGGGGATCCCTGCACTGCACCTCCCAATGCTTCTGTTATCCTGGGGTTCCCTGCAGCCAAGATACTGCAGTGCTGCCTCTCCAGGGAAAGGCAGGTTGCTTATTACTAAGGAAAAAAGCCCACAAAGCAATTTCAAAGCATCTATGCCGCTCACTGGAGTTAAAAACAAAAAAAAAACAAACAAAAAAAAAAAAACAAAAAAAAAAAAAAAAAAAGAAAAAGTAGCACTCAATTTCAGAGTCCTGTTTTAACTCAGTGTTGTGAATTGCCTTTGACTCCAAGACAAGATGTTACAATTCTGGGAGGGCTGTGTTTTTTTCTTTGTATTGAAGTTGTCATAGTTCCTCTTTCAATTAAGAAAAAACCCAACAAAACAAAACAAAAAACCCAGCTCAATTTAGGCAGTATTTCCACAATCAAGTCTGCCTGACATCACCAAAACACAGACTAGATGTGGAAAGTCAGGCTGCCCATCATAATATTTTGACAACAGCCACTGCAAGTTTCTTAAGGAATCAGCGCAGGATTGGACAAGCTCTGCATAATTTGAGCAATTCCCAGCATATCACTAATTATCCCAAGGTGAATTTCCAGGCTAGGGCTGACAGTGTCAGTGCCAAAACTACTGCTCAGATAAAGGACTGCTCGCCTGCAGTTTACAAGAGAGTTCTTGCATTCTTTCCTTTCAATAACAGAATGTATCAGTACTTGAATGACTCTGGGTTTGAGTCATTTTCTCTAATATTCCAGCTCTGAACTTCTTTTTAAATACTACTTTAAGGTGAAGACACAGAACTCAGTCTATCAAACTACTTCACAAGTAGAACAAAGACTTAATTGCATGAACAAGGTTCCAAAAACTGAAGAGGTTTTCTATCGCTTTTAATTAAAAGCAGCAAGGAATGCAAAAATTAAAATACCTACTCCAGGAAGCATTCTATTTTCAAGAGAGAACTTTGCAAATGAGTTCAGCTGTACTACTTGGCACGCAGTGAATCAGTTTCAGACAACAGGAGCAGCTTTCCCCCACAAGCAGAAAGGCAGGCCCAGGGCTGAGCCACCCTGGCCCACAAGAAGCAGCAGGTTACCAGCAGATTTCCAACAAAAGCACGTCATGACTGTGCTCCAGCTTTCAGCGACAAAACCTGTGAGAGGCAAATATGATGAACTCATTTCTCACAGAGCATATTTAAGGCTGCTTAACCAAGGAGATGAGAGGTAATGGGCAGTGGGTCATTATCCTCACTGGAGCTTCAGGCAGTTCAGTGAGAGCCCAGAAGAGCTTGCTCAGCATCTGAACTCCAAGGCTTTGTTTCCAGCAGCACAGGTGCAGGCCACACTCATTGAGGAAGGACAATACAATTCTGAGAAAGGACAGGCTAGCAGCGAAGTCACTGTCTCTCAACTCTCAGACACACACTCAAATTTTGCATTCCTTTGTGCCAGATAATCTGTATGTAGTAATTCTCTCAAACACATGGTGCATTAGGTAATTTGCTGGCTAAAACAATTATATACTTTCTAAAAGCTGCTAGGTTGAAAGAAGTAAGAGAAACAGGAGATGGCTGAAGGCAATGCACAGGGCCCATACAAGCACATCCAAGAGAGCAGTTCAGTTCCATGACAAGCATCCCCCACGACCAGAAAATGTATTTACAGGTGCCATTCTGATATAAACAAATGTTCTTACAGGTCTCATATCAGCAAGTACAGCTATGGCTACACTGAGTTCCAGTCACTCTGGAAAGACTCAAAGTGGCACTGCTGCTCACACCCATTGACTTTCCAAAACACTGATTTCAATTTCTGATCAGTTTGATCAGACTGCATCTACTCTAAATATTACAGATCAAGCACTGACACTCAGGACTTGAAATACTCTGGCACAAGTTTCACTTTAAATATAAAGGAAAAGAAAGTAGCTCACAGGGAAAAATAGTTCAACACAAAGTAAACCAGCAACAGTTTGTTGTTAACTGTGAAAAGTCAGAGACCAGCCAATACAGACAAGGATTTACTGCACTCACCGTCCTTCAACTAAGCAGAACTTGATTGCACTGCTGGTGAAAACCATGGGTTTTTATGAAGAAGTCAATAATTACATGTCACAGAATAATAAATAGGCAACTGAGCACTTCCTGAAGATAAAAAGAAACTCTTGCTAAAAATTATCAAATCCCCCCAAAATGAGCCAAGCAGCACAACACAAAACTAAAGACTATGAGTGTTGAACAACACAGCATAAAGCATGTTTCTATACACAATTACACAGATTAAAAACTCTCAAGTGGAAGTCAGGGCAATGAATTGGAGGCTTCTTCAACGTGTGGAAAGTGGAAAAAGGCAAAAAAAGTTTTGCCCCTCATTCCTTGATGGGAGCCAGTGATGTGCAGGGATGCTGCTCTAGAAACAAATCTCAGTTGGCACAGGTTTCTCAAGTGTTATTCACAGCCCTTCTACAAAGGAGCTGAAGAAAGGTCAACTCCCAAAGGTGCCTTTTCCACAAGGACTTTTTCTGACAAGTTTCTACTTCTTCCACCAGTTGCTCCAGCACTAAATCTCATGAGCAGCTCTAAACTCAATGTCCACTGGATGTGCTGGATCTGAACAACTCCAGAAATAAAACTTTGCACATCTCCAACAAGCTGGATATTTTTACTACATGTTAAGAACACCACAGAAATCCTCACAGCTGCATATCTGTGTTTAGCATTCAGATTGCAAATCAATTCCCATACCAGGAAAGGAGCAAAGTGGAAAGAATGGCTTCTCCCCTCTTCACATTTTCAAGAAATTGCCAATTTGCTGCACAAAATGAAAGAAGAAATCACCTCAATATAAGCTTAAATGGCAGAAATTAAATGGCCACAACTCTGTTTAATTGCAGCACGCTGTTACTACAAGCAGCCCTGAGTAATCAGCAGAAGCACTTGCTCCTGAGGATGGTAAGAATCTTTTCCACATTGTCCCAGCACCCAGACAACTACAAAGGTGTAGCTGGGGCTGCAGAAATCCCTATTAGCTACCTGAAAAAAGTCAGAGAAGAAAACAGATGAAATGAAAGGAACCAAGCAGCAAACATTGCTCTTCCCTCCCAATCACTAAAATGCCAAATCACAGCCTGCTCATCACTTGGACACAGAAAAAGATTCCAGGATTTGCTTTCCTGACTCAATGTGAGTTGAGCACAGAGATGGATGCAAACTGCAGTGACATGGAGAAATCAAGCAAGGAATTGAAACCTCTAACACAGAAATAAAAGAAGCAAGAAGGAATTGTATGAATTAAGGGAATGGGTGAGGCCCCTAAGTGTCTCCTGGCAGACAAAACCAACCTCCCCAAGCAGAGGCATCCCCTCCAAGGCAGGCCCAGGGAGATGGAGCCAGGCCTTCAGAACCACCCCCAGGCAGGGACAGCAGTGCAGCCACAAGCACACCAAAGAATGATCAACAGGAACATTTCCTGCGTGGCAAACGTGATGACTTCACATTCTACACTGACCAAGTCTCTTTGGGACATGAAGCAAGGGACGCTT